CATCCGGGCAGCCATCAAAAGACATGCTCCGCAGATACCGGACGGACGACGGCCCATGACAATCCAATCCTGTTTCATGCGACGAACAAGGCGTACAGCATCCTCGGCGACACGGTTGGTCATATGCTTGAACTCAAGCTTGGAGGCGAATCGGTAGATGATATCTTCAGGGAAGACTGGGGACTCTCCGCTCGGGAAGAGGCAAAGGGTTCTGGTCAACGCCTTGAAGGTTCGTCCAAGTACGAAGACGTTCACCTGAATAATGTCGCCAATGTCGATGAGCATGACGCGACACGGCCTTTCCATCCTGCATGCAGCGTAGAGGCAGACAGCTGCGACAGTAATGATCTTTCGGCCCTGCGTGAAACCTGACTGGGAGGCGAGCTTGAAACACTGAACAGCGGTGTTGACGGTATTGTCGCTAAGATTGAGACGCTGAGCGTAACCCTGCATCAGGGCGCGAGCCTCACGGATGGTCTTCTCTCTGTCGTCGGAGCCTCCAACGCGGCGGAAGGCCGGGCCCATGGTCCTCACGCCAGCTTGGTCGGCGGCGATATAGCTTCCCTGTACCATGGCAGCACCGGAAGACGTCTCGCCAAACTGCACTTCGGCCACAATATTGCTGTCATCGGCGACACGACCGCAGGTTTGACAGATGCCATCGACAACATTGGGCTTGACGCAGGCCTTATTCGGACATTGTGGACGGTTTGAGATGGCGACAGTGGGGGCTCTCACGCGGTTCTGTTGTGCCTGGGCAGCAGCGCTGGCGGCGGCAGCGGCGGCGTTGTTGGCTTGCTGACGTTCGGCTTGCTCGCGGATGGCTCGAATGCGGTTCGGTGGTTGGAAAGGCTTCGATTTGGTACCCGGCTTTTGTGACTTCTTCGTGGGCGTCAGGAAAGAAGACATTGTTTCGATGTTGGTGCCTCGCGGAGGCGGACCGTCGGGGTGTCAGGAGGCCTAAGAGAATTCTGTCGAGAAAAGAAGAATTGCTTGCAGCATGGGTGTGGCAGATGTGGATTGCGAAGTTGCGAATGGCCTCGTAAACGTCCCCTTTCCTCCAGCTCCAGGCTACGAAGGCTGCCTGTCTGTCTGCTTCGCAACTCAGACGACGTGGATGAAAGCAACGTTGTGTAGAGGCGTGGTTTGGTGCGAAGTCGTCCACGCGTTCGGTGATGTGGGCAGTAGTGATTTGATGGGCGAATAGAGTGTAAGTGAATTGAAAATGGTCCCGTCTCTGATTCGGATTGTCTGCAGAGGGATACTGGTGGTCGGCGGAATGAGGTGAAGAATGGGAAAATTTGTGGGGTTGGCGACGAGGTGGTCGAGCGGGGGAAGGTGTACGTTTGTCAGATGGAAGGCAGGCGCAAAGGTAGTGGGGGGATGTAGGAATTTGCTGAGTCAATCTCCGATGCCTTCCATAAGAGGGAATGCCCATATTTTTGTGATATCCTTGGAGCCGCTGGTTCGAATCTGCATCTTCACCACTACTTCAACATCGCACTCACGATGCGGAATCTCTCACAGCCGCCTTAGATTGGCACCGCCACCATAATCGATGTGGCAATGAATATTTGTGCCTCTCGCAGAACATTACATGTCATTGGAGTTGAAGGACCTAAACTTACCTTGCGGGAACTTGTTCCCAATTGGGCAGTACTCACCGAGCAGTAGTATCATGCATACCGGCGGAGACTCCGCTGGCAACCGAACCTGTGTCAGCCAATCCTTTGAGCTCTCCTACCTGCGGGCCGAGTCACTTCTGCTTTGCCCCGCGTCCTGAAGGGATCGCGGGGCAATTAGGCCAGTGACATAAACGTTCAAGCGAGGATTCCGTCGACACTCGTCCTGACTTTTAGTGCTGCAAACGTATATTCCGGGCCATAATTCTTCGTGCTAGTTCTTTGCAAATGCCCGGAACCCAACCGCGCTGTAAGTACCGTGAAATCGGGTTCGGTATGAGCGGGTTGTTGGCCCGTTGCACCGTCTGAATTATCTAAGGCGAAGAGACCCTGCATGACACCTTGGATCGGCAAACAACCTATGGTACAAGTATGAATACTTCGTGTTGCTTACTGCGGGGCAAGTGCGTGAAGTCCCCAAGTAGTTTGTAGCGTTCACACCATCAACATGAAGTGTCTTGTGCAGAAACAGCCGCAATGCTATTCTCACTCGAGCCTATTTAAACCTCCAAATGCCCAGCAATATACCCTACCTCACTTCCTCAACTTCAGTCCATACGCGCAATTTACACACATCATCCCTACTGATTCTCGGCTAGTACAACATAACCAAGATAAACCTAGCTCATCATGTCTTCCTTCAACCTTTCCGCGGCCCCCAACACAGATATCTGGAAGAAGCCGCCTGCCCACAATGTCTACGATGGTAACCTCGACTCATTCATCCTCAAACGAGCCGCAACCTAACATATCCAGCTCCCACAAAGACGGTTCCAGCCAAGCCCCTCAGCCAATTCAAGTCCGCCAAGGTCACATTTACCGCAGACTGGTCCGAACAGTACGACCAAGCAGGCCTCATCGTCACCTTTGACTCTAACTCTGGCCGCGAAAAGAGATGGATCAAGACCGGTCTGGAGTACTACCAAGGCACGCCACAACTTAGCACCGTCGCCTGCGACCGCTGGGCCGACTGGAGCATCACCCCTCTCGCCGCCTTTGAGGACACCAAGAGCATCACCGTGCTCATTGAACAGGAGCGCGACTTCATGGGCCCGAGCTTCTGGGTGTACTATGTGAAGCAGGACGGCACCAAGGTGCCGCTGCGTGAAATTTGCTGGGTTTTCGGAGATGATGATTGTACTGGCAAAGATTGGAACTTGACTGTTGGCGCTCTAGTTGCTCGGCCTGCCAAGGATGCGAAGAGCGATCTCGAGGTTCAGTTCAAGGACTTTGATGTGCAGTGGTCTGAGTGATCTTTCAAAGACGTGGCTCAATACCTTGCCCTACCCAAGAATCAATACAAAGACTCATGACACCACCAGCGCTCGACTATGGTACAATGCACCTTTTCAAATATCTCATGGCCACGGGCCCTTGGTATTGTGATTATGGATTATTCAATTAAGTTTAGCATGGCATGTTCTGGCGTCATGAGCATTATATTCCGGTGCTCGATGAAATTCAACACCCTGATCGCAATTATTGGGTATTATCTGTTTTCCATACTAAAGCATTCGACGTCTTCCTCCACTTTCAACTACAAAGCACCTCTTAATCAAGCCCGGCTTCCGGGACCGTAGTACGTCCTATCCAGGCCTGGCTGTGCCTCCCTCTCAATGGTGTCAATATTGGCTCCTGCCATCTGTCCTTTGTCGTGCTGTGGTTGAAAAGAGGCTTGCTGCGGTGAGTACGGGTAGGGCTGGTAGGAACCTGCAGGCTGCATCGGCGGAGGCCCATTGATAGGGACCATGTAGACAGGAGGAGGGCGAGCATTGCGCTGCTTGCACTCAATACAGGCGCGGACGAAGAGGGTGAAATTGTTGATACTATGAAGTGTTAGCAGTCATCCCACGGCATCTTAGAACACTTGGTATACTTACAGCAAGAGGGCAGTGAACGCCATCACTGTATCCTGCATAGAGGCGATCTGGCCGCCGCTGAACACCCACGACCGCGGACCATCGCGGAGGATGATATTTGCAATCTCCCATCCCGTGGCCACTAGGAAGACAAGCCAGAAGAGCAGGTGCATTCCGACATGAGCACCGGGGTGAATTCCTCGTCTCCCGCCTCTTGCGCAGATCGTGATGAGCTCGGAGGTTTCCCAGCATATAAGGACGGCAGCCTACAAGCGGTTTAGATCAACACATTTTTCTTGATTTAATTCCAAAGCTGCGAGTCTATCGAGTACTTACGGGAAATCCACTGAATACAAGGTAGAATGAACTTGAAAATGAGTAAAGCACAAGAGAGACTGAAATGCCGATGACAATGGCACTGAATGCAATGTCGAGACCGCGAAGAACAATCTTTGCTCGGTGCCATTTTCCGTTGAAAGGGATTTCACGAGGAGCTTGTTGCGCGTATGGCACGTAGCCTTCGAAGCCATCAGGCGGAGCGTACTGCGACTGTGGCGCGTACTGGGCTGAAGCCATGATGAACAAAGTGGCTGAATGATCGTCTTACACAACTTGACAGCAACCTAACAATACGAGAGTCCACGATATTAGGGTAAGCCGAACCGCAAAATGAGCGATGAGAAGATCAACGAGACCTTCAACAAGAACCGAAAAGGAGCAAGAGACACAGGCGTTGGTTCAAATTTTCGGCAAAGGATTTTTTGGCTCATTTTATCACACGCTGTGCCGCTCTTCTAACGGTTTGGTGCATGATACAGGCACCGGCGCGGTAACAATCGCGTCCCAAAAAGGACGGCGCCCCTAGCTAGAACCAGTTGGCGGCGGAGATCAGGGTCTTGCCATTGGACCCCAATTTTGGCTCATATGGGCCCCTAAGCAGAACCTTGTCTGCTGTGCCGCTGGCTGCCTGGAGTCTGGAGTCTAGACACAAAGGAACCCCCAGTTCATGCCACGAGACCTGACGATGCACTACGATCACGGGATCGGGGAAACGACGAGACTCGAGAGAAAGAGAGACAATGTTTGATCTAACGCCTGGACCTCGGTGTTTGCTGCAATAGAGGGATTTCCACCCCTGAGCGCTCGCAACATGATTCTCTCTTCTCTGTAAATCCCAGCATTGATGGTCAGCTGTAGCATGGGAATCTCTGTGGAGTGCGGATGTCTGTCTCAGTTCACAGAAGCGCGGCAATGACCGGTACATGCCCCACCAAATGTTCAACACCGAGGCTGCTTCTCGGTCACCAAAATCATCAGTCGGAGCATCACGATCACGGCTTCCCAACAACCGCATTGGTGCTGTTTTCCAACCCCAACCCTTTGGGTCTATGCAGTGGTTTTCGCGATTGTGGCGCTCCACGGTTCCCGACTGGTTTCGAATGTAGGTATCAAATTTTTGGCCATAACGACGGATCTACTCTCTTTGCAGCACCACTACCAAGCCCATTATTCCTAGCATTGCCGTCTTCAACCACGGGTATTCTGAGAGGAGGATCGTAACGTAGCCGACAAAAGGGATGTATGCGACGACGCTGCCGATGATGTCTTTGCGCACGAGGTAGTCCTGGTCCTTGGCGTACAGCTCTGCTTTTTGTCAGTCTCTACTCGCTGAGGAGTACTGGGGCACCACGAACCAGTGTCATCGGAGTTGTTGTTGTCGCCCTTGGTAAGGAGCTTCGCTTCCGGTCTACAACGAGCATCTTAGTCAGTGAAGAAGACGACGGGGGGGCAGAATGTAGTGGGGACATACCCGGAGCCGAATCTGCGGACCACTCTGTGGACGATGGGAATGTTCTTGCCCTTGACTTCGTAGACAACGATTTCGCCAACGTCGGTTTCCTGGATCAGGTTGCGGTTCCACAGGAACAGGAGATCGCCTCTTTGAAAGGCAGGCTCCATGGAACCACTGAGAACGACGACGATCGGGCTGGGAGAATCGGAAATCACGGAAAGACCCTTCCACATCTACCACTGGAGTTAGCAAGAGCTTCTTTGGGGAGTAACGCTGTGCGTACCATGAAGGCAGTCGAAAGGATCAGCGCAAAGTTGAGCAGCTGCGACGCCGCCTGCCGCGGGTTTCCGAGAGCCGACAACATATTTCTGGCGGTTCTGGCAAGTGTGGGCGGTGTTGTAGGTAGCTTCGTCGGTGGCGGAGAAGGTCTCGGGTCGTGATGTTCAGTTTGGAGTTGAGTTCTGGCCAGCAAGGCACCTTCCTTGAAGCTGGAGTAAGAGCAAGAGCACAGGCCAGCTGTTTTGCAGACGTGGAACGTGTCAATGGAGATCAAGAGGTACGTACTCTACTTATCTTATCGTTGTTGGCCAACGGTCGGCTCAAGACGGCGGTGCACAGACCACCGTTTGTTCTCCTTCAGCTTGGAGCTCTCGGGTCCAGTAATCTTGCCTCATCTAACATCTCCAAGCTGCAAGCTGCAACTACCTTACTTCATAGGTAGGCAAAACCAGACAAATTATGGTGCATATTCTTGCAGCTCGAGCATTAATTGAGTTGAACGTATCCGCGTACCCAAGCATGGGATGCCAATCGTCTTGCAGGAATATACTAAAAGTCAAACACAGCACACTTCCACTCACCATGGGGTCGGGATATTGGCAATTGAAGTGAGCTATAAGAACTAGCCTGAAGCCGCACTGACAACATTATAAAACTCACATCGAAATTCGTGTCTCTTTCCTGAGCTCAACTGCTCCCTCGGAACTGCAACAAATACTTCAGCACTCGCGATGGCCTCCTTCCTGGTTGAAAGCCGATGCTGCCTGTTACCTCCCTCCCAAAACCTCAATTTAGGCATTCCGGGTCACTTCCTTCCACTCACCGTAGACGAACGCCTCAGAAGAGCACATGCCTTCCTTCTATAATGAAATGACTACCAACGGCAGTCGCATTCTTACCAGAACAGGGAAGGCAGCATCCCTCCCATTGACATCTTCCACATGTCTCTGTCCTATGTTCTCCCACCTCGTTGTCCGTTCCTCGACCTGACATCCCTCTCACAGCCTCTTCCTTGACGTCTTTGTCTGGTGTTTTCCAACAAGCCTTCAGCCGTCCTCTGTATCCCAAGCCATATCAAGACGCCCATCGCACCTCTCTTAGACTTCAAACCTCGACTACATCTCTTCAGTATCCTGCCCAGCCTCCGTTAGTTTCCATCGCGATGGACGCCTCCGTCACCACTCCATTGCTCCACGGACAATCAGAGTTCCATGATGGACATGGCCTGCCGACGCCAGCATCATATGGCCAGGTCCAAGACCATGTACGCTGCGTAGTCGATTGCCGTACGTATTCATTGCTCGAGCTAATCTTCCTTTCTTAGCCTGCATTTCTCAGAGCATGCCATTCGCCATGGCGGTCCTTTTCCCAGAACCACTTGTGTTGGGTTCGAGGTGGCATTGTTGCCTACCTGACCGCAGTCGGAGCTATGGTTCTTGACTACAAGCTGCGGAAAGAAGAGTCTCCTTACTCTGACTGGCGGGTGGTCTTTGACTTCTCCGTCGTCACCTTTTCTCTGCTCCTGGCCTACCACGCAGTCGTTCTGGTAAGTCGATTTACAGCCTAGGTAGTCTAAGTGGTGGCTTGTTGCTGACCTCGATCCTCAATCCTAGGGCTGGACATATACCCATCTCTATCATCCACACATCGAGGAGACCAGCACTGGCTGGGAGTACTGGGCACTGAGAACACTGTCACTGCCCTACGACATGGCCAGTCTTCGCAAGCAGTTCTACTTCACCTTGTTTTACACCACTGCAACTGTTTTCACCTTCATGAACACAGTCATCTACTGGTTTGTCACATTGGAGCACGATGACAAGAACACGGGAGAGCCCCCCAAACCTCAGCCATCCGGAGGCTCCGCCCTGGCCGACATGATTGGGGACTCCTTCGCGTACGAATGGACCAGCTTGGAGGACGCACACAAGAATGGGCCACATGAACCTTGTAAGTCATGACGTCTAGTTGATGTTAACCTGGTCTAATACCACGTTGTCAGTCACGGAGATATTCGGAAAGGGCTGGTACAAGGCCTTTGTCATCATCAATCTCTTCGGCATCACATCGGTTGTCTCTCTCATTGAAATCTTCTGGCTCAACAGCATCAAGCGTCCCTTTGTGAGTTGCCTTGTACCTGAGGCAAGAAACATACACTGACACGACTGAAACGGGCAGGGCGTTGGCGCACACACTTTGGGCGTCATCTTCTTCGCGGGTCTCTATCTCGGTTGGGCAGCCATCGGCAAAGTCGAGACTGGCGCCGATGCATTTTACTGGCTGAACGAGAAGAACGTCGGATCCCGTGAGGCCGTGGTGGCATCGTCGATTGGATTTGTAATCCTTGCTCCCATCAGTGGGTTCTCTCTGGTACCTGGTGACTGTGACCAAGATGATACTGACTTGTTGGCTAGTGTACGCATTCATGTACGGTCTCGTTGGTATGCGCGAGAACATGGCCCGAGCTGCCCACACGAGACGGGTTGCCGCCGCTGCCGCGGTAGCGGGCCACTGAGGGACTTTCGGTCCAGACGGGTCTTGTCGGAGATGAACGGGGCAGGCGTCGGGCGGTGAGCACGGCGGTGGTGGCCGGTTCCATCGGGCTTGGCCATGCGTCGTTGATAGGTACAGTGGATGGATGCCTTAGATTGTAGGATTGATAAGGCATGCATCGGGCTGGAGTCGAGGATGGTGTAATGTACCCCTCGAGGCGGTGGAGGGCGAGATGCCAGGGAGGGTCAACATACGATTACCAAAATAACCTAGAGCATTATGACTTCCAACACGCAACTCCTATTTTCCCAGGGACCGAGGCACCGTCTGACGAATGAATCGTGATTACTGGAAAGGGGAGTCCACGACTAAGGTTGGCAGGCAATGGTATCATGGGCGTTAACGGGACGGGACGCGAGGGGAAGACCGATGTATGGATCATGGAGCTGGGGCAAGGAGCGGTGTTGAGGCGGTGATGCAGGTCACTGGGCTTGCCGACGATGAAGACAGGCGGAGAGCAGGGATTGGGGGAGACAAGCGAGCTGGACGGGGTCCTGGAGGCTCTCGATGATTGGTGGCGGTGATTTTGTGCCTGAATCTGCCCGACTAGCGGCAAACGCCAATCTCGAAGAGGGACGCAAAGTCGACGATATGATTTTGTCCGAGGAGAGGGAGGGGGGAGCAGGAGGAGGGGTTTAGCTGCAAGGGTTCGTGGATCGATCCTGGACCAAGGAGATTATTCGCAGAACTAGGATATTGGGCTGAGGAGGGGTTGAGAGCCGAGACAAGTCGGACGGGGATTCTAGAAGTTGAGTCCGAAGCAGCGGCTTGCCTGGCCTGGCAACTGGCTAGGTAGGTGGCTGACTATCGTATGGAAAGAGTCTGTCGTTCATGCGGCTTTGAGCGAGTTTGGATGGGTTCAGAGGGGTTTGGATGAAATAAAGTTAGGTTGTGGCTAGTGAGACAGTGAGGTCCGAATGCATTCTCGCCAGCGCTACTGAGACCAATGTAAAGCAGTCTGGGGAAAGAAGGTAGACGCTGGCGAGCTCTCAGTCGTGGAAAGGCAGTGAAGAGTGAGGAGGAACTGCGTGGTAAGGCACCTACACGCAAGTTCAGGTCTCGAAGTATTGCAGAGAGCATGAGGCTCTATCCAATCCCGCGTGGCAGGGCGGAAGCTTGGGCGATCCGGGGGACGGCGGCGATGAGGGGATAGGTGCAGAGGTGCAGAGGTGCATAGGTTGCAGAGGTTGCAGCATCTCGAGCAGTCCCGATCCTGCGAGGATAGAGTAGACAGCAACCATGGCAACCGTGGCAACCGTGGGCGGCATGTCCAGACGACGAACCTTGGAACTCACCAACCGGAAGGACAGAAGTCGAGCCGCCAGTGAGTTGGCAGCTTGGCCGAAGCAGTCGGATACCTTATCGATCACGGAATCTTGTTGGGCACTCTGGAGGTATCGGTGCTCATGACCCGGGCAACGAGCCAATGGCACTGCCAAGGGGTCGTCGACCGCCTTCTCGCGACTTCTTCTGGCGTCCATGAGGGATCCATGAGATGTATCCATGACTCCTGAGATGTCCTGAGGTGTTTGGGAGGTGCAGTCCTGAGGTGTCGATTCTGGAAGAGGGAAATGAGAAGAACCACCAAGGACTCGCGTAACTGAGGGAGCCCCGCGTTGCGACGCCCTCACGTGCGGTCCTGACGACAGCGCATGCGAGGATGGTGAGGTGTCTGCGGATGAGGTTTCTTGGGCCGCCATTCCCGACTTTGGGACCCCCCCCCCCCCGGATGCCTTCTTGGCGGAATCGGATCAAGGAAAATGAGGTACATGGCAGATGTATCTGAACCAAGCCCAATTGAGGTATGTTACTTCGTACCTCGTGCCTGAGGTGAACTTGGAAGTACCTACTCCAGTCTGCCAACGCACCGGGCGGCCCGTTCCCAATCTCGGGGGGGTCGGAGAAGGCACGGAGGGGAGGGGGGGGTTTCTGGTCTGGGCCCAGGGCCGATGGCCGGTGACCGTTTGTTTCCAGGGAGCCTCCACAGGTACCGGCGCCTGTTACTGAAGAGTACTTCTGACACACGCATCAATATGACTGATGGGAGGTACCTCAGATAAGAACTTAGACTTGATTTTTAGGTCTGGCTCCTGAGGCAAAGGGGAAAGTGTCGGGTGCCTTAGCGGCTGCTCCCCGGTTGGAGGCGCGGCGGTTGGCGGATACCCAAGAAAAGATACGTATCTCACATCTGGGCCAGTCACCTACCTACCCTCTCGTCGTGTCAGTCTTGCGTATCAGTCCAGTCAGTCAAGGCCGTTGCGTGTACCTACCTAACTTGCTTCCGTCCTTGAAGTCACTGCTTGTCCTTGTCCCATTGGCGAAGCACAGAGAGAGAGAGAGGGAGAGGGAGAGGAAGCGAGAGAGCCCAACAGCCTGGAACCTGCAACGGTGAAGCTGAGTGGCAGTTGGCAAGTACCGCGTGTGAAGTCACTGACGTCCCCGACGTTCCATTTTGGTCGTCGTTAGGCGGCGATGCTGCCTGGGCTGTCCATGTCTGCCCGGTCTGCAGCTGGCAATATGCCCCAACAGCGTTCATGACCGTTCAGCTCTTTGGATTTGTCCCCAGGTTCCCTCCAGCGTCAACAACGCGCGCCAGTTGTTTACCCTACTCCGCCGAACATCAAGTACCTGCTGGCGTGAAGTCAGTGCTTGCGAGTACTTGGGACGGGAAGTCCAAGGTAGAGAGTGCCGTGAGTGCTTGGATCTTGGGGGGATCATGGATGATGAGGTGGTGTTCGTCCTATCACACACGCGGCTCGCACTACGCAACACACTCCCGCCGCCACCCAAAATATACGGCGGTTGGGAAGACGCCAACCAATGATACCCTGCCAAAGAATAGATCCAGCCTAAAAACATCACCAACTTAACGTGATGGTATAAGTATGAAGGACCCCCCTCCACAACCCACCCCTCTTCTCTCTTGTTCTCCCCCTCCCCCCCCCTCAACCACAACCAAAAAAGGGTCGCAAAGTTGCAAGTTGGGAATACCTCCTTGGGTCGTTCGTTACTGAATTCCCTTTCCATAGGAGGCATCTCTCACCCCGGACCCCCAGTCAATCTTTTTGTGTGTCACTCGTCCCTCACTTCTCTCTCACACTCTCTCTTCTCTCTCTCTCTCGCTCTATCCCCCCTCCCCCCTCCGATCCGAACACCCCTCCAACTTCGTCATTCCTCCCTCTCCTCTATTCGCTCATTTCGTCGCTCTCTACAAGTCTTCTTATCCCGTAGACAAAGACATATAAGGTCCCTGAGCAACGCGCTCTCCATCGTCTCAGCTTCCCTTGTCTTTACTCTATCGTTCCCCATTCGAGTTGTCATTCCTTAATCAGAACAACAACGTCAACACCAACAGCATCAGCAACAACAACTTCTTCGGGCCAACAACGCCCGCTCTCTCTTAGCAGACCAACAACCGTCATGTCGTTGTTCAAGCGCACCTTCAGGTCGCAAGACCCCAATGTCCGCGTCGACAAGACGTCCAGGCTGAAGAAGTCAAGCTCGATCCGGGATCACCAGAAGGTATCGAAAATGCAACAGTCCGTCAACGAGAAGCCCGCCATGGCCCCGCCAGCCGTCCCCGCACCGCTGCCGACCAAGACGGGCAAGTCCGTGGCCCCTTCACCCATCGTCACCTTGACCGTGGGACGCGAGGGCCGACTGTTTGCCGCACACGAGGACGTCCTCTTCCAGTCGCCCTTCTTCGAGGCCGCCTGCCGAGGCCAGTTCTTCGAGTCGCAGAGCAAGAGAATATCCCTCCCCGACGAAGAACCCGAGATCTTCTCCTCCGTCCTCGAATATCTCTACAAGGGTGACTACTACCCCCGCCTCGTCCACAACAGGCACCGCAACTCTTGGGAGCTCGAGGACGCCGTCAGAGGAACTCCCCAAACTTCCCCCAACCCCGAAAACACCCCCCGAGGCGGCCGCGCAGCCGCCGTTCCCTCCACTCCCACATCGACAACCACCGGTACCACCGCGAGTGAGGCAACAATCTTCGTCTCGGGCTGCGGGCAACACATCCTCCGCGACACCGTCATCTACTGTGCTGCGGAGCGGTACGGGCTCGAGGAGCTCAAGCGCCTGGCTCTGCGCAAGCAGGGTCTCCAGTCCGGTATTGATATCGGCACCATTCTGCGCTCCGCCCAGTACGCCTACGCCCACACCCCCGACTCGGACTCGCGGCTGCGCGCTCACTACCTCGCTCTGATCATCAGGTGTCGCAAGACATTTAAGAGGAGCGGAACCATGCAAGCCGAGATGGAGCGCGGCGGTAGCAAGCTCTTCTTTGACCTGTTCGTGGCCATGTGCAACCACCTCGACGACGTTATCGACCACAGTAACGCGCGAACACCCAAGACCGTCTAAGAGGTTTCGGTTGACTTTTTGGTCTTGTTGGTTGAGTTGATTCTCGACCAGACACAGCCAGAAAACACATGTACAAAAGCGATCATGGCACTGCCACGGCGTTCAACACGGTTGTTTTCCTTGTCACTTTGGTCTTTTGCCTTCCGGATTTGCATCACAAGGATAGGAGGTTGTCTGAGAACTGCGATCCCACGGAGGTCTGATTTTCATGCCGGAACGTCACTTACTCCCCTCTCCCTCCCACACCAGATTGGAAACGTCACCATTTGGGAGCTGTCTTTTCTTTCCTGAAAACCATCTCCACTTCTCATCGAGGTTGGCCGAATAAACCTTTCTGGTGGATTACTGGAGTCGAGGAGGACTAATACCCCCCCGCAAACGAATTTCACTCCTCCCGCTCTTCTTACTTTCATCTTTCTTTCCGCATCTTCTGAACAAAGATTCCCCCAAATACAGTATACACCGGGCCCCGGCGGTTTCCTCTCTCCCTTTTACCAATCACTGGCGTCTACCCCCTTCTGAGCTCTAGTACTCTACTCCACGTTCACTCGTAGGTGGTAAGGGAACGGCTCAAACGGCTCATCAGAGAGCGAATAAGGCGGAAAACGAAGGAGAAGAGACTTGTTACCTTTTGATTTTACACAAAACAACACAAAACAACGACAAAAAAAAAGACACCCACCCCAGCACCAAGTTTGTTCCACTCTTCAACTACTCTGCTTACTTGGGAACGACAAGTTACGGGTGAGGCGCAACTCCAACGACTCTCATCTCTTCCATCGGGAAAATGGATTTTTGGGCGTTTACGGTATTAGACATACCGGGGCACATCAATTTGGTGCCAGTCACCATAACAGATTGTGTTTTTTGTCTTTTTTTCCATCATTTCTGAAATTACGGATGTCTTGAGGACCTTTACGGGATTTGCCCCGCCTCCGACTCCAGGGCAGGCCGAGGAAAGCATGTACAACTATCTACAGCGCAAGGAACAGACTTGACGCTGCGCAACCATATCCTCTGGTCCTGCCATCAACTCAAACAACAACCGAAAAAAAAAACGGAGAATCTCCCAAGCAAACAAAGCATGTCAAGACTGAACGACTTATCTCAACACACACCCACATGCTTTCGGATCTCATTTGTCTCTGGGAATTTTTGGAGGATGCAAACTCTTTGTTTCTTTCACGCGGTATTTTCTGCATTGGTTCCTGCTTTTGCGATATAGTCTAGGCGAATTTGGGATACTCGTCCCTAGTGGATTGGTTCTCTCGGACCTGGCTTGAGCCCTCGTCAGGGCGTGGTAATGAGAAATTTCGGCCACCTCATGAGTTGTTTCTCTCGCATTATGTGACTGCATATCTACAAGTGACTCTTTACCCTCTTTGACTGGCTCTGTTGAAATGTTTCCCCACATCATACGTGTAAAGTGACTCACGAGCTACCTTGCAGTCATGACTTCAACAGCTGATGACCAGCACGACTCAGGCCTGGTTATTGACAAGTAATCAACCAATTTTTTTGGGGGGGAATCCTCTTAACCACTTATTCGTACACTGTCCAAAAGTTCTCTCTGGTTGTAAGCTTACGTTGCCTCGGCAATTGGCAGGCAACACAAGACAGAAAAAAGCACTTATACAGGGGACATCTGCCCACTTCTTTACTTTTATAAGAGGGGAAAAGAACCTCAAACAAGCGCCGATCCCCATTCGACAGGTTGGCGAGACATAGACCACGATTGCAGCTATTTGTATTAAATCAAATAGAATTCGTACGTATTCACAGTTTTGATTCTCGGTGTGGTCGTTTCTCGGCTCTGTCGCAGTGACCATGTTGTTGTTGTTTTTGCCTCGTCAAGAGGCACAGACAACCTGTCAACATGGATCTAATACTCGAGCTCGCTCCTCCGTACCACTCGCTACCCAAGCGACCCGGATACCGTGCGACGGTGCCGGCGTGATGTTGCACACTCGTCTCTTTGGCGTGGCGGTGCCTGGGAGATGTGGTACAGATGTAACCTGCCCTGGTTGTCTAGGCGCCGCCTCGATTCTGTGTGATGAAGCTGAGCCAGCGAGTCCGGCACTTGTAGTGAGGCTACTACAACCACCACCATTTTGTATCTCTGGAACGTTGAGAATAACTCTCTTTTGCGTATGTCGGATGTAGATGGGATATTGCCATCACAGATATCCGTACTGACAGTGGTACTGCTCCAAACTCAGGATCAAGTCATCAACAACATGAAGTGCGTCGCCTGCAGATCCCGATTTCCCTTCTCGCGCAATTTACTTTTCCCACGCTAAGTTACCGAGTCCCTTCCAAACTGTATAAATCGAATGGTGAGACATTCCGCGGATGCAAAAGACAGTCAAGACAGTCAAGTGCGAAAGCTAGCAATCTGCACGACACAGTGAGACCGCGGGAAGGGACCCAAGTTTGAGCGTTGCGTGCCTTGCCAGCGTGCCATCGGTGCAGCGAGGGTGATGTGATGCGACCAAGGCAAACCAAATGAGAGACAGGCACAAAAGTAAGTAGTGCGCGGGACTGAGACTTGGAGGGAGATCGTGTGTAACCCCTCGCATGCTGGGCAGGGCATGACAGGGCTCGGTGAGGAGCGTGATATATAGTTGCTTTCCCCTCTTGAGACTGCTGTGCTGGCTTAGATTTGGAGTTTACCTGAATCTCGCCCCTCGTCCTTTGGGCCATTTCGAACCCTCCGAAGAACATTCCGTCCTGCTTGAGCACATTCGACACAGCGACAGCCTCGTCCAGTTCCACACCTGAGAAGAACGAAATCAGCAACAAGCCCCGCGCGGCAAGACAGGTGCTGAACGTTGAAAACCCGAGGAGTAAGTTTGCCATTTATTTCCTAGTCCTGGGCGTAAGTTTGCTCAGCTCGTCTCATGTCCTGCAAAGACTTTCGGGAGCTGAGCCCCCCACCCGGAACGTTTGCCGGAAGAAAAAAAAAAGCTTCTCTGTTGTTAGCAAATCTCCCGCTCCCGAGTCCGCCCCCGGCATTCTCGCGCCGCTTTCGTTTTCGTTTGCTTTCTGGTCTGGTCTTCTTGGGTCGAGTCGTTGGATGCTGCGAGCTTCTTCTTTGTATCTGCATGGAGTATTCGTCGGATGGATTTCCCGTCCCTTGTTCCCACCGACAGGGTCCTTGTTGGTATCCGCACCGGGCCGGAAAAGCGGGTACTGGATTACTGCAGTTGGGATTGGTCAATGGCCGGAGCTTTGGGCCAGGGGTAAAATTGAACCCTTTTTTGAGTTTTTTGCGGCTTGCCAGTCGCACGTGGTTTACCGTTTAGCAGTTGCCTCTTGTTTGGTCTTTTTTTCTTCGTTTGGGTGGGAAGGAGGGAAATGAAGCTGACTGGAGTGTTTCAAGCTGACAAGTGTGACAAGAACCAACCTTAGGATCCTTCCTTCCTTCAATTGCGACCAAGGCGACGTGCCTATCTGCTATCCCATCTTGCGAGGCAGTTGCGACTCTGAAGCTGTCGTCACCGGAGGCTTCCCGTCCCTTCCTCAAGAATTTGGCCCCGGGCAGCCCCCTGTCTATTCTACCCCACTATTTCGGTCCCGTGCGCCTGGATTGAGATTTGCACCTGGAGGGGTCGACTTCAGACACAGGCAGGGGCGTTCTGCTTCGTACCTTCCACTGCAGCAGTGTACACCTTCCGCGAGCACCTGGGGATTCGTACAGGTCTGTGGGTGAGCGAATCTTCTTTTCTTCTATTCATCTTCCAATTAATTTACTCATCTCGCGTTTGTTGCAATTTTCTCCTTCTACGCCTTGTCATTGTCAAAAAAAAAGTTCCTACGGGGTAGAGTGGGTGTAGGCGAGGAGCAAGCCAAAGTTGGACGCCCATCCTCACATCGTCATACGGATATCCGTACGGATACAGGACTCATCCCTCCCTTGGGCCTCGTCTCCTTTTCATCCAGTCTTATCCAACTGCCCCGTTGACGTCTCTACCATTGTCCTGGGTAGCATCCTTCATGGCTGGAACATGATTCGCCGTTGCGTCCCTGCTATCTTGTCTGATGTGCAATCGGCATTGCGCAGCCATCCTAGTGGTGACGCCGCACCACGCAACACGTTTTAATGCAGACTGCAAAAAGACACACGCATTGTGGCATTCCCAAGCAAAATCGGGGCTTAGGGGGGTCAATAATACCATTCTGGGGCTAATAATACGGCCGTTGCGCCATGTTCAGTCACAACCACCACCCTATCCGCACCTTACCGTACCTCATTCGACAGGACAGTCAGACACCCAATATTACCTTCCGGTGAGATGAGGGAGCGCAATCAATAATTCAGGTACAGACTCTCTTCTCTTTGCCACATACTTTCCGACAAGCTGCCTTGGCTTGGGGGCTACCTGACGAAATACGGGATACCTACCTTACGGATACATCTCGCATTTTCAAGATTGAAGGCCGTTTGGTTTTGGGCCGCCGCCGCCTTTCATCTGTCAATGCGACGCTGGGCAACTGGATCAATCTCAGCCTGACTTTTTGGCTTCCCACGTCTTCCGCGCTTCCATCGCCTTTCCCTTTTCTCTCGTCTCGCACTCTCAATTTTTCTGCCTGACCCCCCCCCCCCCCCCCCCCCCCTTTATCAACTAAATCTTTCGCCCATCCCCGATCTAGTCAAGGGCAGAGAGATCAACGCCTAGAACGTACGGATTGAAAGTAGAGTCCTGCCTGTTAACCACACATTGTCGTCACTCGGAGCAACCAATTAATCGATCTGTACTCTGGAGTCGGACTGTGTCAATCATTCCGCCCAATTCCAACCCTCGCACCCCGACTCCCTACCAATCACGTCCAACAACACCCACCCACCATCTCTCTTCTCAATCTCATCTGATCGAGCGCAAGGGGCGGACAAGAGTGAATTTTAGCAATTCCAGGGGCATATTCGATACTTTAGTTTTGAGGGCAAGACCGCAATACCTCGTACAAGACAACCAAGAAAACCGCGAGCACGGCCCCCTTCTCTTGATCTCCTCTTCTCGGTCGATCAACGCGAGAAACGAGACAAGACGAGACAATCCGCACGAAAACCAGAGACGCTATCCCGAACGCGCTCCGCTTCACCCTGTCTGCAGCTGCAGCCACCGCTGCCTGCATCAACGTACTCGTACCAAGACGCCAGATCCATACCTTTTTTTGCTTTCCTCCATTACTCCGTACACCATATGCAGTACGCCGCCAGTACCTGACAGCTACCTCGCGACCGCTGCTGGCCATCCTGCATGAACACAGACGCTGGCCTCGCTGGTCCTGGACACCGGACGCTCCAGACTCTCCCTGGTTCTATCCACCATTCGCAGTTGGTCGCCCGCGCCTTTCCTCCTGCGTCTGCAGTCCCGTAGCCATACCATACCACCTTTCCTTGCCAGGCACGCCAGGCTTGTCGACCTTTACCGACTCCGCGTACCTGCGCCAACGTCTGGCTGGGTACGTTCTCGCCTCACCGCTGGCGTCCCAGTACTAGCGAAAGACGCGACCCTTTCCGGGGCCTTTCTCTACACCCGATCCAGCCTGAGATCCCATTCCTTTCCTCGTCATCCGACACTCGTGGACCGTGGTGCAGCCCGGATCCCGATCGACGCACGGTAAGGGGGGCCCGCGGCCGCCCTAGTTCACCGTTTCCATTGTTCCTGCTGAGTCTGTCACAGTCACAGTCGCAGTCGCAGTTGCAGCAGTCACCCGGACCCTCTTCTCATCCCATCTCAACCGTTGTTTGTACGTACAAAGTACTCTCGCTGTACGACGTTGCTGCTTCTGGAACGGTACTGCATACTGCACACTGCTGCAGCCTTTCCTGCTTGCTGCCCACCACCACCACACCACCACCACAACGCCGCCCCGACCGCCCGCCCAGCGCAGTCAGTCCAGCAACTGTTCCGTGCCCTCTCCTGAATCCTGAAGCCGGTTCCGTGTCGAACTGCGCTCGCGTGGTCTGCTGGTCTGCTGGTCTGGTCTGGCGTGGTCCGTCGACTACCCGTAACCTCTTTCTTTCTCCCTGCGTCGCCATGGACGACTACGATCCAAACTCAATCCCCCCTATCCCCCAGCGCTACCGGAATCTTCAAACCCCTGAACCTCAGCCGCGGAACCGCTCTCTCCCACCACCTCCTCCTTCGCGCCACGCCGATGCCGTTCCCAGCTCTCCCGAGGTCATCTCTTCTCTCATCACCAGCTTTGCTGTCATAACCAAGCCCGCCGACCAACACTTTGAGCGCAGCACCCCGAGCTTATCAGTCCCTGCAACACCTCGCCAAGGCAGCTTTGGAGTCGACTACGGCGCCTTTCACCAGCCCTCCCTCGAACAACTCCGGAAAGAGAGCCTACCCCTCGACGAAATCGCCGCATCCGCCCCCGTTATCCGAACCGCCAAACCCCCCTCCGGATTCTCGCCCTTGACCGCTCCCAAGTCTTCTCCCGCCCGCGACGGATCCGGCGGCCTCAAGTCCCTCTTGCGAAGCTCTTCCAGGCCCTCTTCCAAAGGCTCACTCGGGTCGCGAGACGATGCGCAGAGCATAGGCAACCTTTCAGTAGAACGTGGTTCTGCGCCCACCCCAGAGCTCAAGAGACAGCGCTCATTTGATAGTTGGGGTAAGAAGCAGGGTAGGAGTCACAGGGGCTTGATGTATATGAGCTCCAAGGAACGACTACGAGAAAAGGAAGAAAAGAAACGCGCGAGCATCGGCGACCGCAGTTCCAGCAGCTTCACGGGAGCTTCCTTACGACCCGACCCTTTTCTCGCCGAGACGCCCATTAGCGAAGAGCCCGCCTACACGCCAGACTCACCCACCCGAGGAAGCGCCCGCAAACACCACGAAATGGCGAGCCCCGGCCCCGAATCCGCCAGCAGCCCTAGAGCGATTCCCGCGCGAGACTCGTCCCTCTTCAAGACGGGAGCGAATGCGAAGAGATCATCTACGAGATCCTCTAGGTCAAAGAGAGAAAGCGCCAATAGCACCAACGAAATAATATTTGAAGGAGAAGAACAGACTTCGAATTCGCGGGAGGCACCTAGGCGGAAACACTTGTCTCGCCATGCTTCCGAAAACGACCTCGCTAGAGCATCGGCCGACGCATCCGGAAGGTCTTTCAGCCGCCCTTTCTTCGAGTCTAGGCATACGGAAAACTTCCTAACAACAGGACCGTTATTTGAAGAAGAGGATGTGGAGGATAGTGCGCCGTTCCCCGCTGTCGCTCAAGGTCGTCGTCGGGATGAGCAGATCGCCAGCAGACGAAAATCAACACGCGAGGCCCCAGACGCAGGCGAACCCATCAAGATGAAGCGCAGTAGCTCCAGGCTCAAGCGGCTCTCTCAGCCGTTGAGTCCCAAAGGAGATGAATCACAGGCGAGCTCACGTAACTCGGCAGCGTCGCCCGACCCACGCAACAGCATGCCGGCCGGGTATGAGCGTCCCCGCAGTGCAGACTCGATTGATGACGCTGTCGAATCGTACCTGTGCTCACCTCGACTGTCGCAAAAGATTCGACATCCGCAGACCGGACGTGTGATTTCCTTTTCCGAGGTGGGAGATGCAGATGGCTCGGCCGTTTTTTGCTGTGTGGGAATGGGATTGACGAGATATATCACGGCCTTTTACGACGAGCTCGCGTTGACGCTGAAGCTTCGTCTCATTACACCCGATAGACCTGGTGTGGGCGACAGCGAGTCGTACGCCGACGGAACCGCGACGCCACTCAGCTGGCCCGATGATGTCTATGCTATTTGCCAGGCCTTGAAGATTACCAAGTTTTCGATCCTCGCCCACTCCGCCGGCGCCATCTACGCGCTGGCTACAGCTCTCCGGATGCCCCAGCATATCCGGGGAAAGATCCATTTGCTCGCGCCCTGGATCCCACCCTCGCAGATGAACGTTTTTGGCACGTCGCAGGCGCTGCCACCCACAAACGCGATTCCTACTTCGCAACGCATTCTACGAGCGCTTCCGACAACGTTCTTGAAGGCTGCCAACAGCTCGTTCATGTCTGCGACGAGTAGTTCCATCACCAGTTCGCTGCCCAAGAATCCCAGACGCAGCAAGCGCAAATCCACCGCCACCACTGGCCGGGACACCCCGGCGACGCATGGGAGCAAGCGGGACACGACACCCCACCTCGACAAGGAAAACCTTGGCTTGAATTTTGATCGCAACAGCACAGGCGACGACCTCTCGGGTAGACCCATGCTGCCCGCCACAGAGACGATGGATAGAATCAGGCCAACCGGCACGGCATCGGCGCAGGGGCACTACGATGCCGATGCGCAGGTCATTGCCGCCGCGTCGGATGCATTGATGGATAAGGAGCGCCAGACGATTTACGACACGAGATTGACGCACGCCATCTGGGAGCTGGCCACAACGGGAGCCAACCCTGCCGTCGACCTACTGGTCTGCTTGGAACGCAGACACACGATCGGTTTCCGATACGTTGATATTACACGGCCTGTCGTTATACACCACGGTAGCCGCGACACGCGCGTGCCAGTTGACAATGTCAAATGGCTCGGCAAGACGATGAAGCGCTGCGAGGTGCGCGTTCTTGAAGGCGAAGGTCACGGCTTGATGGCGAGCGCTGGCGTTATGGGCGCGGTGCTCATGGAGATTAGCAAGGAATGGGACGACTGGCTGCGAGCCACGTCCAAAAAGGACGACCGCGGCCGGAGAACCGGTACGCGGTAATGGGACCTTGATGTTGAGGTTAAGGGTCCCCTCATTTTACGGTCACATTTTTCTTTTCTTTCTTTCTATTTTCGACATTTGGATGACCTTGACCCAATTACGATTTGACCTACACTTTTGATTTATATCCAATACCTACGTAGGGTGGAGTTTTGTAATTATTCTCAGGCGGCCCATGTACGATTTGTGGTTGGATACCTTTTTGTATGGCATCGGCGTCGAGCGCGTGTGCAGGCTTAGGGTGGGTTGATTGGTTGGTTGATTGGGCGTCCTGGGGACGAGCTTCGATGGGGTTCCGAAGCCGTGAGGGAAAAGACACCAGGGCCAGCAGGGTTATTTTATGAAGCAGCCTTTGTTGAAGAGCATCGCTCCATAGTATATAGCAGTAGTACAGCATCGGTCCGTTGTGTCGCGCAGCAGCTGTGGACAGACGCCGTGTAATGTGTTAATACGATCTCCTTTGTGGAACATGAGTCTTTCAGTTGTTGTCTAACACGGCTTTGTTGTGATACGCTCCCTTTTTTGCGTGTGACTGAGTATCTTGTCGTCTTTAAGTCCTCAAGGGTGCCTAGAGAGCAGGAAACCTAGTGAAAGTTTCAGTCTACAGTACTCCTCGTGGAATCCTCTATGCCACCTTTGTTGCCGTGCACTCTTTCCCTTGTCTGAGTCTCATCTGAGGTAGGTGGCTGAAGAGAAGTTCATAAAGGGAGATTTGCTAAGGGAGGTCATGAGAACAAACATATAAAGGAAACTACTACATAAGGTGCACAGCATAAAGTCCTCTCCTCACGATGCCAACTAAGTGGCACTTTGAGCTACTATCATTATCATAGTTATCATACTGCGCTTCTTGGAGAGTATTCCTCAAGGAATAAAAAGAAGAAAAGAAAATAAGAGTTGTAAGAATAGTAGGAATAATGAGAACAGTAAGAGTCACATAAGTAGTGAGAATAGGAGGAATAGAGGTTCGGTGTTGGGCAGCAAACTATTGTGTCACCTACTGGCGCGTTGGCGGGCATCCTACTCTATCACCCACTTGCCACCTCTCGTCTTATGCATCCCACCATTATTGCTGTGCTCTTCTCTTTGCCTGGTCTAAGCCTCTCTGAAATAGGTAGTTAAGCAAAGGTATTCAAAGGGAGAATACCTCAGGTAAAGTGACGAGAATAGAGATACAAAAGAAAGCTGCCCATGGACTTCCACACAAGTTACACGACAGAAAACCCTCCCCTTACAATGTCACCTCCCGTCTTACGCATCTTACCCTTATCTGCGGCTGACTCCCGCGGATCTCGATCCAAGACAAGCACATCGAGCCCACCCCACCGTGCCGCCCCAATATCCACCCTGACATCCCCACGCCTCGTCTCAACCCAACTTAGTCCACAATAGGAGAGGGAAATCCCATCAAACCAGGCGAAGTGCCAGAGTGGTTAATGGGTGTGCCTCGAACCAAGTCATCACTTGATGATCCTTCTAGCACATGACTTCGGTCGCGCAAGTTCGAATCTTGTCTTCGTCGTTGTTTTTGATTTTTTTTGGTTGGGTTTTTGGGGGGATGTGTGTGGACTCTTTGGTGTCCATAGCTTGGGAAGGACCCACTGGGCCTTGGGTAGCCGCGCTTCCAACTAGTATTATAGAGGTCTTCTGGTTGTTATGTTGTGTTGTGCCGTTGCTGGCCGAACTGAGGACACCAGTCTAGACAAGAAAGACCGATTTTGGCCAAGTTTGAGTGAGATTCATGTGCTTCTCCGGGCTGTTGGAGAGAATGCGACAGGTGGATCAGGTTCTTCTATTCTCAGAGTGACTTGCAAAGTTCTTGGGTATCTCTATGAACTGAGTTGAAGTTTAAGCTCTGTGAGCGATCCTGGGCAACGACTCATGGCCCGGCTTTGAAATCGGTGGGAATGGGCATTTGTCACTCTCCATTTTATGGAATGAAGAATTGACCTTCGTTAGAAACAGACGGCAGAGAAGTACGTGATTTCAAGTCGCGGAATTATCTGACTTCGAGGTCTCAAAGCAATTTGTCCGGGCCAAAACTCTCCAAGACCAGCTCCGGGCCGGCACGACGGAGCAAAGTGGGGTCAAACAGTCCGCGATGAGGTCGGAATGCAGTCCAGCCATGACATTTAGAGAAAGAAACTCCTTTCTACCTACCTCATGGCCGAGTGCCTTCTCTGTCCCTAATCGCTCTGGACTTGAACACCACAAAACTCTCCGACCTCATCTCAAGATATCCTGTTTGGTCCAGGCCTGGCGCTAATTCATGGTGGGACGCAAGAATCAACACACCCATGCGACGCTACGTCATGGCTGCCAACGTGCGCCTGGATGCTGCTGCTGCTGCTGCTGCTGCTTATTTACCACGCGCCCTCTCATTCAACGGCTCAGCCCTATCGCCAAAGCCAAGAGCTCTTTACCAAGTCGCAAAGTCTGTCGCCGTTTACGATCCTGAGACCGACATCTCCATCAAGACAAGACTTTGGCTTCATTACCCCGAGTTGGACTCACTCAGTCGACTCTCACTTACACCTGATCTCAGCCACAGCACCCACCCGTCACCCTCATCACCATGGACATCCTCCTCTCCCTCCCGATAGTCTCCTACTTCCTCGCCCCCTCCATAACCTCCTGGTCGACCTCCCTCAACCTCCTCTTCTTCTACATGACCTGGACAACCCTTGTCCTCTCTCATGGGCCCCTCAAGATCCAGCTTCTCGGCGCCCTCGCCATCCGCCTCATTCTCTGGCTCCTCCCCTCCCTCGCCTTCCTCCTCTTCGACACCCTTCTCCCCTCCCTCTCAGAATCGATCAAGACCGCCGGCGCCGCAGCCCTCCCGCCAACCCACGGCCCGACCCTCCTCAAGACCCTCGCCCTCGCCCTCTTCAACCTCGTCCTGTCTGCCGGTCTCGAGGGGGGTACGAGCCTGGCGTACGCATCCTACTTCCGCGAGCCCCTCTTCCGCGCATCCTCGGCCTTGCCGCTGCCATTTCAGCTCATAAAGCACGTCGCTTTCCTCATTGCTGCGCGCGAGGTCCTGACGTACTACATCCACACGCGCATCCTACACTCCCGCGGCAGACGCATCACCTCGACGCGCATAGGCAAGCTTCATGCTTCGTACGCCCACGCCCGCGCCGCGCCGCCGTTCTCGCTGATGCTCTTCGCCGACCACCCGATACCATTCCTGCTCCACCGCATCGTACCCATTTTCGTGCCGGCTGTGGTCCTCCGCCCCCATCTTTTGACGTACTTTTTGTTTGTTGGCTTCTGCACCATCGAGGAGACCATGGCCATGTCTGGGTACAGCGTCGTCCCGGGTATCGTCATGGGCGGAATCACGCGCCGGACGGCGATTCACTATGCCGGCCAGGGGGGTGGCAACTTTGGTGCGTGGGGCGTGTTGGATTGGGCTCATGGCACGAGTGAGGGACAGGACGTGATTGATGATATGCGAGCCGAGGCGGAGAAGCACCGTATCAAGGAGCGGAGTGAGAGAGCGGCCAATAATGGCGTTGGATTCGTGCAGGAGTTGAAGAAGGGCCGGGGACGCAAGGGGAAGAAGAGCAACTGAGTGTGGTTTTACTGGTTTCTTATTTCTTTCTTGTGAGTTTGGATGGTTCTGCTGTGCGTCAAATGCAGTTGCTTCTTATATGTTCCGAGGATACCCCCCAAATCACCTAACACGTCTAAGTATCTTATATATATATACCGACGAAATCTACCCCAAACCATGTGTCCTATTCCCCCCCAAGGTCCCTGATCCAATGCGCCCAAAGGCCGGCTTCTGTATGTAAAATAAAAAAAGCAAAGGTCCAGTGAATCAACAACAATACATCTTCATGCTTTATGCCCAGCTATTCTTCTTCTTGAACCACTTGAGCGTCTCCAGGGCCGCCTGGACGCGCATGCCCAACCTGGCGTCAAACACAAACGCCTCCCACGCGACGACCTTGTCGAGCCACTCCTGGCACTCGTCCATCTTCTTCTTGCGGTAGTCCGCCACGGCCTTGGCCTGGCCCTCGGCATCCGCGGGCTCGTCTGCCGCGGGCTGGCGCTTCTCGGGTTGACAGCACTCGAACCAGGCCACGGCGGCCATCTCGTAGTGTGCTGTCGGTAAGGGGTACTCGTCTTTTGTTGGGCCTTTGAAAGCCGCTCTATCATTTCGTTAGTATTGCTCTTACGATTACAACTCTCCACGCTAGGTGACCATCCAACGTACCTGTCTGCGCTGAGGACTTCCGTCTGCAGAATTGTCCTCGCGTCCTCAAACCGTCCCAGGGTCCTGTAAATCGCCGCCAGGCAGATTGACCGGATGGAAGCCTCATCGGGCGTCTTTTTGACCTTCTCCAGTGCCTCGGCAGGCAGAGTGCATCGCTCCCATCCCAGACTCTTGATCGACATGTGTAGCTCCTCGTCATTCATCCTCTTCGTACCGTTCCACAGGCTCACCATCTCCTGCGCGGGGCTAACGCAGACGGCATCGGCCAAATCAACCTTGAACTCCTTTGCGCGCTCCTCCCACTTTTGAACCTTGCGCGTAATAAAGGTGTCGAACGGCAGCTGGCGCGCCATAAACTTTTTCCGGCCGGCCGTCGTCGGCGCCTTGCGGAACAGCTCCTCGGCCTTCTTCTTGCGCCGGCGCATCTCGTCCTCGTCCTTCGTCTCGGCGTGGAAGGCGTCGCGGTACAGCTCCAGCTCGGCGCACCCGGCCATGTAGTAGTACAGCGTATGGCTCCAGTCGTTGAGCTCGAGGCAGCGGAGGAACGTCTTCTGCATCAGCTCCCAGTCCTGGTGCGACATGGCCGCCAGCGCGAGCTCAAAGGCGTTGAGGGCCGTGACCTGGCGCATCTTGGACTCCTGACCCGTCGTCAGGAGCTGGATGGCGTCCGCGAGGCGGCGCTGCTGCGCCAGGACGCGGGATTCCTCCACGCGCCAGAGGCGGGAGTCTGGGTACCGCGTCCGCATGGAAGCGAGGAGGGCCTCGCATTTCTGCGCGGGGTACCCCACCATCTCGGCGTTTGCGTCAAAGTCCCGTTCCGCGGGCGTGATGTCCGCCTGGCCCAGGAGTCCGTTGTAGTAGCCCAGTAGGATCAGGCCAGATACGGCGCCGTTGAGGTTGTCAAACTGCGTGCTCTTCCAGAGCATGCGCACGCCGCGCTCGCGGTCGCCTCGGAAGCCGACGACGTATAGCAATCGAGAAAAGGCGGGCGGGACCATGCTGAGCATGAAGAGGAGCATGCCGAAGCACATGTTTGCACCGCTATGGATGAAGGCGTCGACGGGGTTCGAGAAGACGCCAGAGTCCGTGTCTGAGTCGTCGGCCATTTGTGAGGAGACCTGCAGAGGGGCGAGCTTGGCGTCGCCCGACGGTGTTGATGTGCCGGAATCGAGGCTGAGCGCGGCTAGATCCTGTGCTGGTGGTGCTGCCTCCGTCGCTGAGCCGTTTACCTTCTTCTCCGCTGGTGTGGCCGCCCCTGATTTGGGCACCTCGTTGGCGTCTACGAATTCAATATCGCTGTCAGACTTGCGTTCCAGGTCGGCGAACTCTTCGTCGTCGAAGCTACCGGGCATCTTCTCCTCACTCATCCTTTGCCGCAACGGCGGCGGATCAGCCTTGTTCTTGTCCTTCTCCAGCGCCTTGGCCTCCTGCATCATGATGCTGTCGAGGGTGACGAATGCCTTGCGGAGCTTGTAGAACCCCTTCAGGGCCTCCGTCAGACTCTCGTGCAACACGGCGACGACGGCCGCCATGAGCTGCGACTCGGCGTGGATGAGCAAGAACTCGGTACCCGGCGCGTAGATCCTACTGCTCGTGGCGTCCCGTTCGGCCTTTTTGTAATCCGCCCAGGCCTTGGCCTCCGTGTCGGCCAGCCGTTTTGAGGCCTCGTTCATGACCTCCTTTTCGAAGCCGAGCACGGAGCGGAGGAACGTTGTCATGGCCAGGCCCAGCTGATGAAAGGCCGAGTCGCCCTTGCGCAGACGCTCCTCGGCGCCGTCAATGTCGTCGTTCATGATGAAGGCGGCGGCTACCATGGCCTCTTCGATATCGGCCATTTCCTTGGCGGAGAGCTCCTTGGAGGAGAGGTTGACCGACGATGCGGCCGGGCTCGCATTGCTGCTTACCTTACCCGCCGAGCGGAACCATGAGCCCAGTCTACTCATAGTGAATATGTGATGAGAGGTCAAAGTGTGGAGGGTTTCCCGTGGGCAGAATGCAACGTGGCCAACTACTAGAGAAGAATGGGAAGGAAAAATACACGAGACGGGCTGGTTTTCACTGATTCGGGACCTCGGGAGTTGACGAGGATGACTAGAAACCGGAAGTGCTCCGGCGAGTCGCTGACAGAGTGTGAGTGTGAGAGTGAGAGTGAGAGAGAGGCTCGCGGCAGGCAAAAGAGGGCCGTGGATCCCAGCGACGGACTTTGGGCGCTGAAACAAACACGGGTCGAGAGAGTCCGAATCTGGAATGCCGATTGGCGAAGGGGATGACGTCTTTTTTTTTTTTTTTTTTTTTTTTTTTTTTTTTTTTTTTTGCCTAGTTTGGCCGCTTCGTGTGAGCGAGTGAGTGAGTTGGGTTATGCTTGTGAGTGTTTGTGAGTGCGAGTGTACCAGTCCGGAGCTCTCTGATGGAAGCTTCGATTTCGTCCCTTTTTTTTCTGTGTTGGTGGCGGCAACCCGGAGCTTGGCTGGGAATAAAAATGGACACAAGGGTACCCGGTAAATGGCGCTGTTCGGCGAGGATAGAGATGGGGACAAAGACGCGCGAAGCTAAATCTGAGATGGAGAAGTGAGAGCCGAAAGCGGTCGAGAGCCGTGCTCAGTCACCTCAGTGAGCTTGGTGCTGGCTGGTGGGCCTTTTGGTTGTGGATTGGGGAAGCTCTCGATATTAGAAGAGATGACCCTGATGTCCTCGGTATCATGGGGTGAAGGCAAGGCTGGGGAACGAGCTTTTGCTGGTGACGACGTTGATGTGACTGCTGACGATACGGAGGAGGTTAGAAAGGCTGGCTTAAGAAAATAGCATGAGGTAGGAGAAGAGGGGACAAGTAAGCAAAGGCAACAAGGTATGGTTGAGTACATGTAGGGAAAGAGGGTTGGGTGAGAGCGCAGCTCAGCTGTTGGACAAGTCAGGGGTGCACGTACTGAACCAGTGAGCAGTATCCGTACACGAAAGGAATTACCAGACGGGCCAAGAGTTCGCAACGGCCGTCATTGACAGGCAAGAGTAAGATGGGCCAGGGGTGTTTTGACAAAGTGGGTGTGGTGTATGCGGTGAGCGTTGCGCGTTGCCGTACAACTTACGAAGAACTGCCAAATACACGTATCTGCGGCTTCAGGGCATTGAAGAGGCAAGGTCAGAGAGGGACGGCCGAGCCTTAAAGGTAGTTGTACTTTGATGTCCACAGTCCCAGGTGGCGCGGGGCACGAGGGAGGGAGGTTATGGCGGGAGGGCAGCCCGGTCGAGAGACTTGGCTCGGATGGGTTCCTAGAGCTGGAGCTAAGGGTTTCTCGTTCATGCGCCGGCGAGTACACCGGTTGAGAATTGAGACGGTGGTAGTGATGGGCAGGATGAGATGGGATGGGTTGGTGCTGATGAGCGTTGTGTGTACGTATGTTGGTTTGTGTATATATTAAGTGTACGGACAGAAGCCTGTAAAGATACCCGGTAAGGCGGTACTGTAGGCAGATCCGGCTACTCGGCCGGAGCAATGTTCTCTTAAAGAGAGGCGCAGCTTCGATTCACCAGCGTACCCGTACAGAAGTTGTGTAAACTCTTTAAAAAAGGCTCATTTTGTGAAATGGGTAGGGCCCTTACGAGTGTTGAGTGATGAATCACACAGCTTTCCTCCGCAGGTTCTTGACCACTTTACCAGGGAAAATCCGCTAGTGAGATTCAAAAGAGACTGGACTCACTGGAGAGAGTCAGCAGAAGAAGAAAAAGTTACGACCTGTGCAGATGTAGCGTCGTATTCCGTGCTTTTGAGTGGTGGCTGAGCCTGCCGCATCCGCATCCGCATTCGCAATTTGGTGTGTCCTTGATCCATCGGCGCCATGATATCCATGGATCGTTGGAGACTTCATTGATTGTCACTAATCCAACACTGCGGTCAGTGGGGGATGGCCCCGGGGTTATCGGGTCGTTCGGCTGCTGTCAATCCCCGAGTTACATCGGGGGCGCGTGCCTTTACTCCCTCCGCTCCGGTCCTCGTCAGCCACTTTCACTACCTTGCCGTATGTTGAAGAATTTTCGTATCCTCACACGAGAATGAGCCTGTGCACGGTAGAGTTAGATTTCTCCGTTCATCGAACCTCAGTTGCGAAGCTGCTGGGAAGCCTGACGATGCGCATGAGCTAGCCTGGACTGATCCCACTGGCATGCGCGCGGGAAGCGATCATTCAAAGTCCCCGAGACTCGACTCGACGCCGGGAGACGCCATTGCTAAGCAACCTAGGGCCTGGGCATCGCCAGAGGTGCGGACCCAAGGTTCCCTAGCCAAGAGATCATCCGCTACTGCATCTTGCATTGCAGGCAGAAGCTGGCGGCGTTTCCTTGGTCCCCACGAGTCCCCTCTCCAGCTGTCTGGTCGGCATGCATAGCATAGCTAGTTAAATAGAATAGAGGACACATGTCAGAAAGTCACATGTCCAAGGTTTGTGATGTTCTTCACAGATGGAAGAGCAATTGCATTCTCGGCTGGGTGGCCTCGTCGAGAGAGTGATGAAGACAGAATGCCCAGGTCACTATAGGAAGTAGTAATCTACAGCATCATCAAGAGTCGACTGACGGAAGTTTCCTTCGTCTCAAGTCCCCAGACATCCGTCCCGATGCAAAGATCTGAGATGGTAAGCGATTGCCCCTTCAGGATATGCATAACGCGCCCGGCTGGTCTCGTCCCTTGGTCCCCGGCCGCGTCGGTGCCTCGCAAGCAAGCCGCGCAACCCACACATGAACGGGCTCGCGTGCTCAGTCCCTACATACTTCTAGATATCTGTAGGCCAGTGTTATAGGGAGGCCCCTAGTCCAACTCAGTCTGAGTATTTACTCTTAATATTCATCCAAGGACGACCTTCACTAGTCCTCACATGTTGAAAAGTCCTTGGATGAGAAGCGTAAAAGGACTTGTTGCGAGTGCATGAAATCGTGTTGTGAAAGTGTCACTAGCTTGGAGAGTATTATCGTAGGTGTTTATGCTGCATCGTACCCAAATGGTCTATGGGTGCAAGTACCATTCTAGAGGTTTCAAAAGCTCTGGTTTACTTTAGGGCAAGGCGAAATTCAGAGTTCTCGATGAGATTGAAGATGGATTCTATATGTCAAAACAGTTATAGATTGACAACGGAGAGTGTTTATTACCATTAGCACTGCTTCTCAAATAATTGTCAAGTGAGTGAGCATCTGTGTCTGTCTCATTGATACTGGCCCATTAGATAGACAACCGCCACCTGGGTCTTAAGTCTACAAAGAAAGCCGACGAGCAGAAATTTTCAGCATCGTTGATCGGCAATGAACAAGTGTTCTCGGTTTCTTTTGAAGGCATCCCCAGAATATGAATGAACTTTCATTTCTTGCTGCCTTGGACTGTGACGCCGAGTGAGTTTCTACCCCGCTGCGTCACCTCCTCAGACTGAGCTCAGTGCTCCCAAAAAGGTCAAGAAGAACCGCCCTTGGCACTGCGACGCTTCGACCTGGCTGCCTCTGACCTCCCCCCACCACGCCTCTGCTACCCCGCCATCGGCCGAGACACCAAGCTGACTACGTACCTTCCCACCCAAAGCCAGAACACCACGGCCAATCCAGAAACTCCATCATCGCCAACACAACACCATCATCAACCCTGCCTGCTATCCCTGCTGTCAGGAAACAATATACGAATTTGCTTGTGACTACCACAGGATAGTCCTCCTCGACCCCACGCCAATCAACAGCTCGTCATCCTCCAAAGCCCCAGGGCACCATCCAGCTGCTGCCCAAGAGCTTCCAACCTCGAGGGTTCCCGGTTCCTAGTCGGCAAAGCTCACCGACCACCAAGCTACCCAACTCAATCCCAGCATCAACACTCCAGAATATACCACCACCACATATCATCGCCCATCATGTCGAGCAAGCGCATCGCAAAGGTACGCCAAACTCCCTCCCCCGATCCCCAAGACCACCACCCCCATACTTTACTAAAACCCCAACTCAACTGCCTAGGAACTGACTGAGGTCACCACAACCCCTCCCACGGGCATGTCCATCACCCTCGCCCGCGACTCAGACCTCCACGCCTGGCACGTCTCCCTCACCGGCCCCGAAAACACCCCCTACGCAGGCGGCACCTTTGCCGTCCTCGTCGACCTCCCCAAAGACTACCCCTTCAAGGCCCCCGTCGTCAAGTTCGCCACCCGCATCTACCACCCCAACATCACAAACGACGCCAACGGCAACATCTGCCTCGGCATGCTCAAGTCCGAAAACTGGAAGCCCGCCACCAAGCTCGCCGCCGTCCTCGAGGCCGTACGCTCCCTCCTTGTCGAGCCCCTGCCAGATGACCCCCTCGAGGCCCGCATCGCAGACGAGTTCAAGAATAACCGCGTCGAGTTTGAGAAGAATGCTAAGCTGTACGTTACGCGCTACGCAAAGGGCCCAATTAGCTTTACCGCCTCAGAGGCGCCGGCCAAATGAAGCAATCGAACACGGCCAGTTCATAGTACGTTGAAGGAGGTGTCTTCCCAAGTACAGCTGGGTGAAAGACGACGACGACGATGACGACGACGGAATAAGACTAGGACACCACGAGATAAAGTGCTGGAACCTCCTGGGGTTCCAGTCATATCTCGGTGATTTGAGCAAGAGTAACAAAAAACGACGGCGTTGATCGGTCCAGACAGTGAGCATTAGCGGCGTTAAGGAGATGGGATTTCGGGGTATTCCATGCTTTTTCCATGGATTTGGAATAGTCGCTAGGCATTCAGACGGCATCCCACAATTGGCCCATTGCGTGGGTCGATAGTCTGGGTTGTCCCACATCCAGAGCACGTAGGACAGAAGCCTTTTGAAATGTGTTTCATCCAAGTTGGCGTTCATATTATATTGTTACAGGACGCTGAATTCAGTCACTCATCATTACCCACTGGAATCGACGTAGCAGCAGTGTGGTAATTCAGAGACTCGATACCTTGCTCGTAACAACTCGCGGGTAGAAGCAAAACACTGTTCATCAAGACTCGCAAGATATAAGGGGCACAAAGGAAAGCTTGAGCGTTGTGTGATGCTACTAGACATCGTATCTACAACTTGGTGAGACTGTGCTTCACCCGTTTGGGCACTTCCTCCACATACGTTCTATGCCGAACCAAAAATCCAATATGCTAGGGGCGTGACCACGCTGCCCTCTTTCTAGAATGATATCCGTTTTCGCTTCCCAATGGTACCGCATGCCATGTAGTCATTACCCTTGAAATGCAAATATTCCCTCAAACGCCGTGGCTTAATGCATGCATGCAACTTTTGTTCCTTCTTCTGCGGTGGGCTCACGATACCTCTGCTGATCTGCCCAGCCTCCTGCGTCCAAAAATGGTGCCTTTTCTACGGACCTCTCCTTCGGCTTCGGTAGCGTTGGCGCTGTCCACGCCGCCTGCGTACGTGGCCGCCCTTTGATGCTCTGTCTGAACTTTAACACGTCTTTCTTCCCGTTGGCTGTCAATCGTATCTTGGCTGATATGCCCAAAGCCATTGCGACGCTTAAAACAAGCCTCCATAAGAGCATTGGCATCCAGCAGCTTGCGAGGCATGGCCTGGATCACGGAAAACATCTCCATGGGATCCGTGACTGATCGAACCTCGTTTTCTCCAAGCTTGAAGATGGCCAAGGCAATGCGGAATAGAGTCTTGGAGCCTTCATAGAAGATGACGTCCCATACGCGCAATGTGCTCTCGATAGGCAGAGTACCAATGAAACAGCTCATGAACCACGCCGTCATGCAAAGTGTGATGGGCGGCAGACGGTTGGACGAGATGCTAGGTTGGTTCTTCCTCCTCACCCTCGGCTTCTTCACTGGCTTGACCGGCCGCACAGCATTCGGGTCGCCCTCCAGATCGTCACCAATCTTGGCCCAAACAGCAGGCATGGACTCCCTAATGGCATTCATCAAGACACCAAGGTCCACCTTGGAGCCTTCGAGACTCATCTCGTGGGTGCCGGGTAAGTATAGGCGAGTGATAACGTTCAACAGCCAAAAGGCCTTCTCTTCCGAGTCCATGAAAAGAAGGAGTAGGCCAGCTAGGAAGTTGAGGCTTTGGCAGTATCCGATGCGTGGGTTGTAAATAGCAAATGCGTGCAGGACCCGTCTGAGAGAGGAGATGATCGCAGGCTCGTTCTTGGCCTCGCTCTCAGAGTCGTCCGTTGACTGGCCGTCACGCGTTGGTTCCGTGTTTGGCTTCGATGACATGCTTGCAGGCTTGAACCTGACGTTGTCCGGGAATGTCCGATGAAGATCTCGCTCGATGGCCTCCACATCAATGTCCTTGGCCTTCTTCTGCAGCAGAGTGTCGTAGAGACCCGAATGTTTTGCCAATATGGCAGGGCCTCCTGCGTAGTAAAACCAGGCAGCCCCTCTCCACTCGGGCGGAATGCCTTTCCTTACAAAACGTTTCGCCTTCGCACTATGGGGAGGGAATCGTTCAGGTTGGTTCGTCATCAGCCCACTCTCCTTCATGAATGCAGTCCACTTCTTGCGCCGTCGGTCGAGATAGTCAGAGTAGCCCTTGTCCCAGGCGTCATACTGTTTTCTATTGATATGCTGGTTGGCCTTCTTAAAGCCGTATCGGTCTCGTGCGCCTGGATCCTCGGTTTCGGCCGGCTCGGGATTTACGGCCGTTCGAGCAGAAGAGGCCGAAGGGCTGCTCAACTGCGGAGACGTAGCTGGTGTATCGTTCTGGAGAGACTTTGCAGAGTCTCGCTTTTCATTAGTATCCTTATTGTCGTCATTACGATCATAGTCGGTCAAGCCGAGCTCCTTTGGCAGAGATGATGGGTATTCGGAAACCCTGAACATCTCAGTTGATTCGCGAACAATGGTGTCCGAAGCCGGGACAGTCAACGAGGTGGCGGCGGGTGCGGTCAACGGTTGACTCAAAGCCTCTAGCATTCTCGTGTTCCGCCTGTTGATCTCCGCCGCTGGGACGGGACGCACATCGTCGTCGTCGTGGTCCTCGGGACTCGAGTCATCCCGGAAGCCCTTTTCGTACATCCCCATAACGTCGTCAACACTAAGCTCCTCCCCGTTAGCGTACAGCGATGGAATCGAGCTATTCTTGGTGAGAACACTGCTTCTTTCCGTCACGTACGTTCCCTGTGCACTGGATGCAGTCATCTGAGATCGGTAACTCGATCTCATCTCGTCTTCCCCGCTCATCCACGGTGCCTCCCTCGCATATGTAGATAGACCCGAGCTCGAGCTGTCGACGCGGCCGTAGGCCATTGGAGGACGGGTGAGGCCTGACGGAGGCGGAGCACTTCGTAAACGAGAGGGCGCGCGAGGCTCGTAGAGATCACCCCCTGATGCTGGGATCGAGGCAAACGTCGAGGCCGACCTTGTAGATGATCCGGACTGGCCCCGCGGCCGCGGCCATGCTTGATGGTGCGAATTGGGGTCAGAACGCGGGTCTGAAGGAGAGTAATTGGCGCGAGGTCGGTATGAGTCTTGTATCGGTTGTTTGATGCTCGGCCTTCTCGGGCGAGAGAAGTTGTCGACCTGCATGGTGTCGATCGATGAACGGTCGTCTTCGTCGTACGGGATCGGGGATCTGATCGAGCGAGCGGCTCTGCTTGTCCATTCGTCGGCGCTCAAGTCGTCGTCGAGGTCATGACCCGGCCTCGGTGCCAGCGAGGGGAACGTAGGGGAGGAGGGGTAGTGTTGGGCGGAATCATAGGTAGGGCGTCGAGGGGATAGAGGCTGCGACTGGGGGCTTGTCGAGTTTTGTTGCATTCCAAAATTGCTCGAATTGTTGGCGAGCGAGTCCCAGCGCGGAGGGGATGTGGGCAAGGGATGTGCGTGTGGTGGTGGGTAGGCTGCTGGGAAGTCGGAGTCGGGACGCTCTGGAACGTCAGAAGTTGAGATGGGTTTCGGATGGGTCCGCCTTGAAGCATAAATACCGAATTGGCGATGCTTCATGCTATTCTGACGGTGGACGGTAGGGTCCTGGTCCGCCATGGCTCCGGGGGCGATCTGGGCGTCGGGATGGCCAGAGTCCGCTGCCATGGCCATGAGGGTCATCGTGGCTAACTCCCCCAGGCCGTTATATGGTAGCTGGGAGTTCTACTCGAGCAATTGAATTTGCGGGCAACGCGTTGAGACTGCAAGTGATGGTATTGTTTCGCGGGTCTCCGTCGGCAAGGTCGTAGTTGATTGTAACTTATGTTATGATAGCGTGGTCAAGTATCTGCAATGGTTTTGCAAGTTGATTGTGGTAGGGCAGTCAAAAGCGTTCCTGACGATAGCATTGCGGCACATGCATGAACCTTGCGTTTGGCAGCAACCCTCTTTGAATAGTCTCAGCAACTCGCGACGGGGATTGGTCGGGCGGGGCTGGTTCCAGTGGTTGATCGCTGCTGAAAGCCGGGATATGGCGGGATGAAGAACGGTCGGTGCGAAGGTGGTGCAGAAAAAAGGGCGACTATCGGGACGGTTCGAGCAAGGAATGGCAGGTTTCCAGCGTCACAGGGCGTAGGAGACGAGGTGATACCCTGAGTACAGTTCATGCGCATGCGCAGACAAGCTGGGGGCTGGATGTAAGGGGTGAAGTTGGACGTCAGAGATCGACCAACAGCTGAGTCAACGGGGGTCGTTTGAGCTGGTAGGTGGTAGGCCGGGACTTGCGAAACAACAGATGCAGAGAGCCGGAGACGAGCCGCTCAGGCAGGTACAGACGTATTAATTGCAGATGCAGGAGATTGTCGTCGTCGTAGTCGTCGGCAAAGTGAGGAGAAGGCAAGGGAGCGGTATCCGATCCGGGTGGTGCGGTAGGCTGGCACGCTTGGTAGTATTGTGGTGTTGTGGCAGGTCTCCAGTGCTCCTTTGAAAGTCCCCAGTCGGCCAGAGGTATTAAACTGGATTGGACGAAAGGCTGGTGGTTGGTGGAAGTGTTTTGGGGGGGGGGGGCCTGAATCTCCTTTGGGGGCGGATGCCTGTTGTCGCAGATGAAGATGCTAAAACTGAAGCGAGCGTTTGGACCCAGACGGGGGCGGCGTCGTCATTGGCTTAAGCCCACTACAGGAACATGAAAACAAGAAAAAAACAACAAATGAGGACTTGTCGAAGGTTGAGAGGCAATGACGGGAATCGTCAAGGGTTCCAGTCCCCAATTGTGCAAGGCGTTGACTCTTTCTTTTTGTTTTGGTGGTACAGAAAGTATCAGAGCGGGTTGGGCATTTGTGGCGGCGCCAAGTTTGAAGTGTCTCGGAGACGAAAGGGCGATTGACTCGTGCGTCAGATTCTGGGCTAGGTACGCTGCCACGAGGCAGAAGCAAAGAAAGGCGGCGGTCGGGTATCGGAAACGGTTGGTGATTGGCTACTCTTTGACAGACGGATCGTCTCAGTGTTGTGCAGTCAGAGTGCGAGTATTCGAATGTCGAATTCTGTCGAGAGTGGCCGAGCGATGGGGAACGAATAGCAAAAGTGCGATGCTCTGCTTGGCACGTTGAGCGTTGAGGCAAGGTGAGGTACCTTGGACAGGAAAGAAAGTGCGAGACAAGTCAAGTCCCAGGTGAACGAACGGACGGGATGAGAAGCAAGAGGAGGAGGGAAAAAAAAGATGGCAAGTTGAAATTCGGGCGAGTTGCGCCGACGAGAAGCGCGGCGTCGGATGCCGAAAAAAAACGGGAGACAATTTGAGAAGGAGGCAAGGAACAACCAGGGCTGCGTTGGGAGGCAGGAGGCGGGAGGGAAAGAGCCGCCGAGAAATAAACTGGACGACGAGGAAGCTGCGCTGCTGCTGTTCCTGCTGTTGCTGCACTGCTGGTGGATCAGAAAGAGGAAGGAGCGATGGATGCCAGTACGGACGCAAGTCGTAGGTGCAGGTGCAGGTGCAGGTAGGTGCAGCCGCAGACAAGTGCAGGAAGGTGCAGGAAATAATTAAGGTAAGGAAGGTACGGAGTAGGTAGAGAAGAAGGGATGGGAGGGATGAGCCACGAAGATGAAGACGAAGAACCAAGACGACGACGACGACGACGACAACAACAACAGCAATGGCCCAAAGAAACAAGGGAAGGATGACTGAATAAGATGAGGAGATTGGATAGACTCCGATCGTCCTCACTTTCCCCTTGCTCTCTCGCTTGTCCTTCGCCTGACGTGGTTACTCCCTCGATATCATAATCCCTAACGTATGGTAATTCTATATGCTCGCTCACCCAGGACTTTTTTTTTTTTGTGAAGCGGACGGACCATCAGAAAATACGCCAAGGCAATTTAGTTATCAAATTCCAACCTTCCGCTTATGATGGTGAGCAGACACCCCAATCTCTACCTTACTTCGTATGCTTACTTTACCTACGACCCATGGATAGAGAACACCTACGCCATACCTAGTACTCCGCTACATACGAAGTACGGATATATTTTCAATCCATTCTATCCGTACGATGGCGGAATCGGACACTGAGAGACACCGCCAGATCCGAAGGGTCGCAATGAACATGGAATGGAGTCATTCAGGCCTCCTACCGAGACCGAGACTAAGGTAGGACCAAAACCAAAAAACCAACACACACCAAGTCCAACACACCAACGGTCAACCTGAACCCCATTCCGAAAAGGAAGAAAGCCGCCCTCGCAACGACACAGATTGATTAAAAACGGTGAGAGAAGAGAGTCAGTCAAAACCGCTGCCAGCGCCACCTTTGCAGCCCATCTGGCATCGTGGACTCTTGTTTCCCCAATATCGTCGCTTCTCATAAGCTCACAGGCACGCACGCGGATGCTGCAAGTCAACAAGCACAGGCACTTTTGCTATGAAAAATCTCATCAATCCGATTCATCACTCCATCCATATCGTCACCAAATTTCGCACACCTGCTACTAAGGACCAAGGTGCCATCCTTCCCCGCAGTCACTCGTCAATCATCTCTCAGTATTCCACCCAGGCCTGGTCAGGTCGGTCAACGCCTGTTTCCAAGGCCCCATGTCGCCCTGGTCGCCCATGTCCACGGTCCTCGTCTTCCTGGTCACGTCTCCGTTTCTTCCTTCGAGAAGCAGAATCCATCAACTCGGGATGTGGCCCTTCGATAAGAGTACTTGCATCTGCCAGCAAACTCACGCTCTGCCACATGTACCTTCGTCTCATGTTTCTTCTAGCGGGTTTCCCGCCTCCCTTGCATCACCCGGGCCCAATGACACCCTTGGTATTATTACAACGCCCTGACCATTTCCCTGCCTGGCTTGCGCATCCGGAGCGTCCAACAATATTTCGATATGACGCCCGCCCACGAGCTGACGAGAAGGGCAAAATTGAGAGAGACAGGGCACACTGGCACAGGGGGAAGAACTCACCAAACCATCAAACCCTGGACAAGAAACCCGGACGGTAGGCGACTTCGACAATCTCTCTAATTGCATCGTGTCGTCGAGGAACAGGGAATGGCAGCACGACCCCCTCCATGCTACAGACGTATCTGGACGAACATCCGTACGGTGTACCTACTTGTACGGAGTAGATGCAATGGGAACCAACAAAGGTCAGAGAAACGAGGCCCGGAAGCACGTCCGCGACCGACCGACCAATTCTCACCACCAGCGACCACCGCGACGTCCCGATATCAGACGCAACGCAACCACTTGCAGGGGGCTCAAGCAGCGCCGTTGCTTGCAGGGGCCAGCGAACAAGGCCTGTCTCCTGTCCGGCGCCGGCGGCCCTTCCCACTGGGACAGCTTGGGGCCGGCCCTCCACCTTAGGCTTGCTGGCCATTCCACTTCGCGGGAAGAGGGTTTGCTAGTGCCCCTGGTGCCTGAAGCTATTCCCAAACGAGTACTCGTCATCCACTGCCCAATCACCTTACAATTTCCCGGTCCTGGGCCTGGTAACGTACCGTTACGATCCTCACTGGTCAACTCTCCCTTTTCGAGCGGTCTCCCAGAGAAAATCTGCACCTCTATCGTCATGTGTTCAGCTTGTTGATCCATTCCATTCTATGCATCAGGTAGGGGAAGCTATTTTTTTCCTCTCTTTTGTCTGCGTGCTCTGGACCCAGCACCCGCCGTTGGCAGGGTCTCCCTCAACTAGCTCTTTCCTTAGTTTATTCTTCCCTTTCCTTTTTTTCATGACCTTATTCTGCGCCTTTTCTCCATCTGGAGATGCTTTCTTGTGGATGTCCGATTGTGGAATGTGGACCGACTTAACTGGTCTTTGGACGATTTCTTTCCCGCCAACAGCAAGGCCTTTGCTTTTGGTTGGGGTTTCTTCCCATGCTCAATGGCGGATGAGAGAACCGAAGCCAAGCCATAAGTACCTATAGTCATGTCTTCGATCAGCAAAAGTACCCTGAAAGCTCGACAACGAAGCCTTCGCCCCTTCGCCGCTAGGAGGGACAACGGGTACCAATCTGACGGTTCTCGTGCACATCGCTACCAGCAGGCATGCATCATCCCTTCTCACGCCGGCCGCTACTACATTGATCTCGATCATCAGCTCCATTACAAGCAAGGCATGGAGAAGTTGTTCTCGTTTATTCTTTCGCCTCGCCTCGCCTGGATCCCATCTCGATCAGAAAGCGAGAGTCAAGACACATGTTCCGGTATTCTTGCTTGTTTCTTTCGAACGACTACGACGATTCGGACAGTCCATCATTATCCGCTTCTCCGCTCCAGTATGAATACAACCATGACCTGCTATCGCGGTATCGCCCAATTTTCCAGTCCGCTGTATTCCGCGCATCGCCGACGTGTCATCGATGTACACTCTCGGCGGCTGCTCCGATGGGCGACTCCAGCCCAGATACATCACACCTCTCTCCCTTGGAAGTTGGCTGAAGCTATGCCAACTCATAAATGTATCCGTAGAGCCGGATACTACCCAACTTTCTCAACAGGCTCCACAACCACATCCACCACAAGCATAGTCAGGAACGAGCTCAGCCATCTCGAGAACACGCATTGAACACGGAGAGCACATATCTCTTCGGCCTGTCCCGTCCCCGAGCTGCGTTTATCATCTTGTTCTTATGCCTTCTCCCTGCCTCGGACTATCGACATGTCAGCCCTTTCAGGATATCAGATCGGCAATGTCTCATCCTCCCTGGAAACACCATGAGGGGAACCTTCGGACTGGTCGGGTTCGTGGCCCAACAGTTGCCAAGGGACAATTCTTTCTTTTCTCAACTCTCGGCCACCCTGCCCGAGCGGCTAGCATACCACCATACCTACCGCCTAGGTCTGGCGATAAACCGATCGCTGGTGGGCAGTAAGGGTTTTTTGCCCTTCACCGTCGGTAGCTCCCGCCAAACATAGCGGGCTAAACCAGCAGAGTCTCCGTATGTTTTATCGAATACTTCCTGCATTCAATTGCGGGTGCGTTAAAGCTTTGCCGCTTATCAGCCTCCTTCTCGCAACCCTTGTCGGTCGAGGATGCAAGTCGCAACCAGTGCTGAGTAGCACGTGTTGGCAACCTGGGACCTGGGACAGCCTCTTTGGAGTCCATGAGCACTTTGGGACTGTGGTCACACGTCGCTTATACGACGCGCCCTATTGTCGACACAGCGATCCAGCTCCTCCCTCATATCTCTCTACGATGCAAGACGGAAAGTTCCCCATGCATGAGCGCGTTGATGACCGATCCGCACCATTCAAGAGTATCATCTCCTAGGCACTAGGTATTGACTCGATGGACTGACTCTCTTCCTCTCCGATTTCTCACATTCTCTCTCCTTCTGTATTCACTGATCAACCAGCTCGACTAGGGCATGCGCTCGTCTCAAGGACATCCGCTACCAACCTCTTTCAGGGCTGCAAGTGCAGGCTTGCGTGCATAGAGACTGGAGGGGCGATGACGGAGCTCAAGGTCCAGTCTGGTGGGTGGCCGCCAAGCGACTACGGATTAAAGATGGAACGGAATTGGCCTTTGCGACCCGGATGGACTGGACTTAACTTGGAGCCGGGACTCGATAGCCTAGCTCACGTGATGACGGCGCTCATGACATCCCGTTCCGGGTACAATCACGTCAGCGTACGGTCGGCTATCATGGTTTGCTCATTTACACCAAGGGCGTATCCGCATCCAGAAATTGCTAGTGATTGAGGGCTGCCATTGGCTTTCGCAGATACAGCTTTCAGCTACGGACACGGCTTTCGATTGACACAGGGGTGATAGCAGCAGCAGCAGCAACCGAGAGCAATGCAAGTTGGAGGCGTAAAGGGGGAAGACTGAGGGAATGGGGAGGGCTCCAGACGGAGCTTGGTGGTGACGAGACCTCAGGAACACTGGCACTCCCACGAGCAACGGCAAGGCATCAGAGCTTCTTCGTCCTCTCCCACCTCGGTGATGCTGCTGCTTGCTGCTAGGTATCACCTACGGAGTATCCGTCCTTCGTACTGCCGCAGAGCTGCACGCACCTTACCTTAGGTCCGGACAGGGATGGTGATGCTGTTGCTTCCCCAGAGAGGTCCGAGCTCCTCGTGCTCGACGGACCAACCAGAGTGTCAGACTCTGAGTTCGAACGCTGAACCGTCGACCAACTTGCGCCGGATCAGTCTGCTTGGTTCCCTGTTTGGATCTTCCTCCCAACCCGATTCCTCCGCTCACGCCCACACCAATGTCCACGCCCGCGCCCGCGCACCGCACCCTCGCCCTCGCGCGATCCTCCTTCTCTTTCGCTCACGTCTCCCCAGTCTCCTCCTCCGCTGGTCGTCTCGTCTCTTTCTCTCTCCTCTCAGTCGCCGGCTTGCACCACCCCCCGACAATCGATTCGAAGCTCCCCCCAGCCACCCTCCACCCATCCACCTTGGCCTCCCTCATCTCAGTCCTGGCCTAGGTAGTTTTTGTCTCTGGGCCTGACTGGGTGAACCGGGACTGGGTGATGCTCCAGCTCCCAAGTCTCTGGCGCTTGTTCCTTGGGACCTCTGGCTCTCTACCTTACCTCCGGCCGGTTCTGCCTCGCACACGCTCCCTCACAAACAGTATGGCAGAACGCGCACCACGGAGCTGAGAGGGAGCGCTCCCCTACTCCCCCTCCTCAGTCCTCAGTCCTCACTCTCTTGCGCACCGCAACGCACCGCACCGCACCACACCACTCACTGCCTCGCACTCCCTCCTCTCTTCCCTTCCTCGCGCCCGCCCATTGCGCTCCTAGAGCCAGAGCTACCACCAGGAGACTCGCACCCACCCACCTTTGACCTTGCCCCGTCCTCCCCCCCATAGCTTTCCTTGCGCCGACCTACCTACCTTGCCTACCTTTCGTCCTGGCCGTCCCCCAACTCTCTCTCTCTCTTCTCTCCTTACTTCTCCTACATATCTCTCTCTCTTCCCATCCCTCTCTTGTCTGTCTCCTACTGGATTCTCATCCCGAGACAACCTAATACACCCAATTGAACCCTCCGGAGCTTCATCACACAATGTCCACCCGCAAGAGAAAGCAAGAAGAGGAAGAGGAGCTTGTCTCCCTCCCCGATGACGACGGTGAAGAGGAAGAGGAGTAAGTAGTCCCTATGCCGCCCACGCCGTCGACTTCCTTTGAGAGATAGTAAACATCGAGTGATGTTCCTACTCAGACCTCGAATATGTAAGCGCAGATGGAGCTATCTTGTCATTGAAGCTCCAATGCTGCCACAACTATGCGCCAGGCTCGCCCGAGGCCCTGGAAGCGTTCTCGCATACATGACCACTGTCCTGTATTCCATCTTTCTTCACCACACAACTAACAAGGCTCGCCCACCAGGTATGAATCAGAGGAAGACGGAGAGGAGGGTGACGACGATGTTGAGGAAGAGGAGGAGGATGAGGAGGAAGAGGGTGATGCTGAGGAAGACGCAGACGCCAACGGCGTAGACGGTAAGCCCATCCGAGAGCGCCGAACAAACCAACTTATCTAGGACGGACAGCTGACGTGCAGAATCCACAGAGAAAGCCCCTCCATCGAAGAAGCGGAAGACCGAGACCGCTGCCACGGATGACGCGGCCGACGCTGAAGAGGCCGCCGATGAGGAAGAGGAAGCGGAAGACGAGCCCGAGGGCGAAGACAACGCTGAGGAGGAGGAGGAAGAGGAGGCCGATGCTGAAGAGGAGGCTGCCAACGGCGTCGAGGATGCTCCCGCCAAGGGCGAGGTCAAGGCTGTTGAGGCACCTGCCGCTACTAACGGCGATGCCGCCAAGGCTGTTGCTGCCGGCGGTGATGCCGAGGAGTAAAGTCGTCGTGTGTTCTATATAGCAGTACCAACTCCTACTTTATCCAACTTCATCAGTTCTTTTCGTGACCGATCATCTGTTCGACAAGTGATTGATTCGAGCAAGATGGTACCATTGGGTTCCTGCTTGAGTAGCGATCCACCCGCGGCATCGTACGATGCACTCTCACCCGCCTTCTGTTAACAACAATGTGAAGTCAATCATCGCCTTTCCAATGCGATGCAAACGCAAGCTGTTTTCGAGTTGCGCCAGAATGCGACATTCGCAATGGAAGCAAGCAGTGGCCCTCACATGCCAACCACTTGAGATCGCTGTCGCGCGCACGGATGTAGTTCGTTTCGTCTTCTTTCCTTTCGAACTGAAGGGGGGAATTTTGGAAGAGTTGCGCCGAAAAGGAAACGGCGTAGCCGTATGGAGTAATGGAAATCTCGAAAAGATTGGAAGTAATGAGATATGGCGGAATAAGATGAGTGATAACTGTATCTTTTTGCTATAGATTGGGTGTCAATCAAGATGCAGACATGCCCGAGCCTCAGCATGTTATTTGGCCTTGCTCTGTGCGCCAATCAATAAATGTCTCCCCATTTTCAACCTCTTGGGAAAACAGTGTTGGTCCTGTAAGCTCCCCTGGTTGGATTGATTGCCGAGAACAGCTAGACATTATTTCCGCAGGCCGCATAAAAGGTCCCGTCGGCCTTTATGAGCGACGTCAGTTGGGGGTACGTTTCGGGGGCTAGAAGAGTCTTGGGGGCTAAAAAAAAAGGGCCGGGCCTTCCGTCCGGAGGACTGTTTTCCGGGGATCCGCTCACGATGGGCGGGACAGGGCCGAAAGACCCGGTGTTCAAAATCTTCGGCTCCGGAAAGAGAAAAGGAAACAGGAGAAGAAGAAAGGAGTTCACCCCCCGGACGATACAACCTCTCTTGGTGCTCATGCTGGGGAAATGTACCTCGAACTCGGTGCCTGTCGGCGAGAGGGCAGTTTGGCGTAATTTGATTATTGACCGTAGACCATTCCACCACCCAGCCAGTTTGACCTGACAAACAGACCTAGGAAGACGCCTGCTTTTCTGATGGCGGGAACCGGGTTGAGGGAGGTTACATGGGTTTGGATCTGTAGTTTGTTCGCTAGAGTCGAAGAAGATTCGTGCATAGGATGATTCACTGGAGGTAGCTGCGGACGATGATCAAGAGCACGCGTTAGAGTCAGAAGTCTTGCTGTCACTTCGTCTGAATCGCTTAGTACCCTGACCGGACCATGAAAATTTACTGATGTTACCTAGCGCAACCTGTATCGCGGATATGACTACTTCACTCTCGAGAGAGCAAGAATCAAAAACCAAACTCACTCTTATGGGCTGGGAAACGGGCCTGTACGCGCCCAATTTGCCAACGAGAGTACTTGCTTTCACACTCATTCGCGTGACTCTCCTCGGGGTTCTTGAATCTCCTGAGGTACCCTCAATTGAGTTTTCCGTTGAGTTGTGATGATGCTACCGCCTTATAATACGATGGTTGCAATAATCACGGGGTTTTCAGCAGCCACTAGGGAGTCAAACCTCTCTCCGAATAGCGAGATACTTTGGCCCTGGAGATACTGCATTGGAAAGGTCTAGGGGATAATGGCTGTATGCGGAGCATTCCATTTAGTAAAAATTGATGCGTGGAGTAGGTGGGTGGCTCAAATCCCCGCCAGGCCCGATGACTTCTATATCTGGATGAACCCCCCACGTCAGGGTGAGCCAGTGAAGCAATGCCCTCTTTCCGATATAATGAAACTTCCTGTAGTTTACAAGCACATACGACCACACCCATCGGAAAATTCGGGATCCCGTCCGCTCTCCCATAGACAAGCTGATGAGGGCCAGATCAGTAGTTGAGTCGGTGACGATCAGCGAATACCTGGTGTTGTATGTTTTTTTGTGGCCGGCCAAGGTAACATGCAGCTTGCGTCGACGATTGTCCAAACCTCGATGCCATAGATAGTAACGGTCCGTTGGCAGGATTACATGGGTTTACCTTGCTCAACAGTGTATGTGAATATTGCTCACTTGATACGCTGCACTGAAGATCTTGGACTTTGCATGCCAAGGCAAGAGAAGAGCATCTTGCTTGATGTTCTAAGCATCCAAAATCTGCTTTTCCTGGTTGCCTTTCCCATCCCTGCGCCCTGCACGAATGGGAAAAGTTGTATCACTTTAGTTACACTGCCATAGGTAGCTAATGGTCTAGACATACATGAGTTGCTTGTGTAATGCCTACAGAGATCCCTAGCTGAGCTTCGACATCTTTTCAAGGGATCTTCCCGTCCCGTACATACAAACGAAACTACGTGTACCCAAGAGAAGCCACTACCACCTCCCTATGATTCAGTAGCAAACGTATTGACATCAATACCTGGTCGAATGACGTTATTATTCTATAGCTTTTTACCAACTATTTCAGCCTTCTTTCAGAGAACGGACAATAGGAGAATCGAGACTACATCCCTATCCCATCGACTGCTAGGCGGCTTATCTATAAGCATCTCCAGTTTTTCTCCAACTCTACCTCTTTTCAAAAGCGAAAACAAGGGAAATAGAAATAGATCAAAACATGTTTTACTGGTACCCTTCGAAGAAGTACGCACTCTTGGAGTGAATCTCAATAGCAACGGACGGGATACTGTAGCTCGAGGGAAAACCAAGGGAAACGCTCCTATCAATACTGCACGCCACGGGGTTTTATATCGACGGGCAAAGTCTTCATTCATTGCGGAGGCAAAACATAGCCGTCTCACCATAGTATTCTATATTAGAGTCATCAGCTTCAACGATCTGCTACTTAAGCATATCGCCAACACCCCAAAAGGCAGCATAATCCGAGCGACCCTCGGTGGGGTTGCCGTGTTTAGAGTGCCATGCGTGGAAGGTTCAAGATTCCCGGAAAATGTTTTCCCTAGCAGTCGGACGACTGTAGAGACGGGGGGGGGGGGGGGGGGGGGTATAATATATAGCAATTCCCACGAGTGCCCACATACTAGCTTGGGCTTGGCGCAACAGGACGTCTAGGAAGGACCGCCGCTTCAACTACGAGCTTTCAAAATCCATCTAGACCCTTCAATTGTGGCCAATTTGCAGTATGCTACTAATACGCGTATACCTATCTTCAGTCCAGTTGAACCAGGAATGACCTGTCTTGATACACTCTGTCTCTCCTTCGCTAGAGCCGGCCCTTCGGCCGGAAAGGTGGGTCAATCACGGCGCATCGGCTCCGGTGGGACGGGTGTCAACGTCCGATCGCTTCGGAAGCCATTGTCACCCAAGAGTTGTGTGTTCGAAAAAGGTCAATTGCGTCTAAACTACTCCACAAGTAATAAGTCGCAGGTCTCAAAAGAAGAAATAGCGCTTCAACTTATGGTAATGGTGCCAACAAGCCGGAATTGTCGTGGTAGCGACGCAAACTTTACCAGCTTGATCTGCCGGGTGTGGGAAGTAGGGTTGCAACTGCCGGCCTACCTTACGTTCTGCCGGCCCCCGTAAGCTCCGACCTTCCTTTTACCCTCGTCTGTAGATCCTCGTAGATCTCGCCTGCAGCCCATGATTCACGTTCGCGAGTCGCTGCCAATCGTTCTTGAATCAATAATAATAAAGCTGCCCTGCATATGTCGTGTCATGTCAGCTTGGCGGGGGCCGATGTCCGCCCAACAACCCGATGGCTTATCTCTCGTGCGAATGGACCGTTACTCCAGTCCGACGAATGGCTCTTCCTGTTCTGGATCTGAAAGTACAGACCCTGACGTTTGTGCAAGTTGAGTCGTTGTCGATGGAGATGTTACCCCTTTATGACGGCGAATTGCTGAAACGCTGTGTTATTTCGGTAAATACCAAGCGTTTGGGTTTGTAAATCTTTGCAGTGAGCGTATCCGTATCCGTATTAGATATTGGATTTCTAATGAACAACGTATCGAGTGAATTATATAATGTCTAAAAAGAAGTCCACCAGATCGTCCTGTCAGTCGTCTACACCGTCCACCCAAGCAGTAGTTACATCGTCACCAACCCTGCAACCGTTCACAATGGCATCAGAACCGTCAGCTTCTACATTGGCTAACAACAGCAGCTCGATGATGTTCTCTAATAGCTTGAGGCTATCAATCGAGGCTTGGAGCATCGCAGCTGCCTTGATGACCGCTGTCATGGCTTACAAAATCTGGACCGATCACAAGTTCAAGTTGCCGCCTCTCATCAACCCGCCGCAGCCGTTCGATATAAGTGGAGCAGCCGTCAAGAGGGACTTTTTTCAGCGAAGCAATGAAATCATTCAACAAGGTTCGAAGACGTTTGGGGGAGAGCCTTACAGCGTCATCTCTGACACCGGCCGCGTGATTATGCTGGCTCCGAAGCATGTTGATGAGGTTCGAAACGACCCAAAGCTGAGCTTTTGAAGAATACGGAGCATGTAGGTACGCATTCCTGAGATGTCAAATGAATAGCTGACCTGAATGATGCAGGATTTCCATGCTTATCTGCCTGGTTTCGAGCCATTTGGGGCGGGAAGCGCGATCCCGATTCTCGTCTTGGTCGCCAAGAGGCAACTCACCAAGTTCCTAGGTAGGCCTTTCCATTCGTCTTATTGATTTTGTTGTCGTCCCAAAGTCTAACCCGAATATGCTATAAAAGCGAAGATCATGAAGCCACTTTCTGATGAGACAGCGTTCTCTTTTCAGACAGTCCTTGGCGACTCGACAGGTAGGAACTTCCCCGAGTACTCCATAATCTACTCTAGTTTGACACCCTCGTTAATACAGAATGGCATGAAGTCAGCTTGGGCCAGACAATTCTCAACGTATTCTCCCGCCTCTCTTCCCGCGTCTTCCTCGGCCCTGAACTCTGCCGCAACGAAGCATGGCTGAACATCACAGTCATATACGTGGTGGACTGCTTCATCGCAGCGGAGAGACGCCTCGCAAATCCATCGTACTTCTACCGTGAAATAGATAGCTAGTCATCAGGCAAGATGTGCCTAAGTAGATCAGGGCACTCTTGTAAGCAACACACGAAACACAAAACTGGAGGGGCAATTGACTCCAATTTCAGAATTGTACATAGCTCCAGAAAGCGTTCGTCTGTAAATGTTGGTAAGGAGGATTGCAAAAACAGCAATATGACTTACAGTTCATAGCTCAGAGACTAGTGTATGTGGATGGAAAACCTGGCATATCTAGTTGGATGGCGGGGTGGCGGATGGATGCGTGCAAGGAGGTCATATCCTCTGACGGCTTCATGGTTTGCTTTTTTCCTGGTCTTGTTCACGTCTTCATATCCCATCAGTTGCTAGATGGCGTCGGTGCATCCACCTCCAGGCTTTCTTCAACTCTTCTTCATTTCGACATCTTTCATATATGTACACAAGGGACACAGGGCCGGACTAATGTGGAGTCTAAAAAAAGTATTAAAGGTATCTACGTAATAGCTACTACCTACCAGCAGAGGCTCGGCACCTTCTCTGCATCTTCTCACCTGCCGGTACGTCTGCCTTGACGAGATACCATCAGTAAGCTGACGGTGGCAGTCCCTGTCGGTGAACAGGCCACTTCCAATCCTGATTTCTAGCAACTAAAAAAGGTACCCCGGCCCATGGCGCAACGTATGTCGAGATGAACAAAACCTCAAGGCTGGTAAGGAGTGGCTCGAACCAAGCGGACAAGGAACATGATGGTTTGACCAGAGACTTTGCAGTTGGCTATCATGATCGCGGGCGTCCTGATAGATTTTGCGGAGCATGAGATGGAGTACGATTCAGCGGAGATCCGGGTCAATGAGAAGAATCAATGGCAACCTAGGGCAGTCAAGACCTGGAGGAGATCTGGAGCACTGACATGTGTGTGTTACCAGGATGGCTGGCATTGGCAAGGGCTAGCTACTTTACATGTATTCTAAGGATGTCTGACCTCTGTGCCCTCAGAACTCTCACAGTTGAGTCACATTTGGCGACGGCTGGATATTATGTCAACATCAAGCAGCGCACGACAAAAAGGACTTCATCGGCCTGAGCCAGTTTCAAGGGAATGATGGGAGGCGCCTTGCAATAAGATCGTCAAAATAGGAAATATTGACAAGAATGACTCTGCTAACGCAATGTTACAGGTGGCTACGTATACCTCAAGCCTATTCCGCTAGGCTCATCTCATTCGACGATCACGCCACTGATGGGGCAAGTTGAGTACCTTGAACCGGGACAAGTTGGGCATTGCCGAACGAACCCATCCGACCAAAGATGATCGGGCCGAGTCTCGGGAATCTTAATGCGACATTGTGCTTAAAACAACGACATGTCGTCTTGTCTCATCTGTCATCCACAAAGTATTCATTGCTACCAACTGTCAAACTCATGATCTTTAAAATAAGCTACAAAGAGTCTCCCACCAGTAAGCTGGTTATACAGACACATTGCGGGGGTTTGAGAGTGATGGTCAACAGAGGGGCATGGGTCCCTGAGCTTGGGTCTCCTCCAAGTCAACTTCCAGAGAGTAAAACCTTGGCTTGAGATGTTTGTTCAGAGGAAAAGGCTCATATCGGGAGTAAGCTGAAAATATAGCATGGCTTGGCTAGGAGAGCTTTGCAGAAACCGCAGTCCTACTGATACAACCGGCAAAGATTCGGGAAAGCTGACGACTTCTTCCTGAACAGCAAAGGCTCAAGACATACGGGGGTCCAAAAGAATGGGGGGGGGGGGGGGGGTAATGAGCAGAAGAGGGAACGAAAGCAGCCAGAGAAGATTCCTTCCATGCTATTCTAGCACGTTCTTCATTACTCTTCTTTAATAAAGAAGAAACAACACGAGTGTCACAGAGAATCCAAGAATCGTGGCAAGGTGGGGGGGATAGATGAATTTCCTGGCAAGACATTCGTGCGGCTGCAGTGCTGCGCAAAGGAGACGCCAGGCTTGGGTCCAGGTTCCCGCAGGCCTGGGAACTGGGCGTCAAGAGTCCACGCGCCGTCTCTCGTGGGCTAAGCAGATGGGCATTGGATACATGATTATTATGACGGTGTGGCAGTCGGCGCGTGTGTGACGTCCTGTTGGCCCGGCAGAGTTGATGGGGCGAGTATGGATTTTATGAGAAAGTGCGTATCTTAACGAAGTATTGAAAAGAATATGGCGCGTCGGTGGACATTTGCCCGGTCCCAGCGACGCGGATTGGGACGGGTAACAAGCGCTGCCAATCAGGCGGGTTGGAAAGGAAACGGCTGGGCTGACTAGGTCCAGGCTGGCTTGGTTTTTTTTCTGCTCGGCGTGAATGCCCCGGTCGTTTGTTTCTTTCTTGTATCTTTGCTCCTCTACTGGATATCGAAGGACTGTTTAATGTTGGCAATCACCCCGCCGAATTGTCAACAATACATTGGATTTAATGAGGGCATATGGCAGGAGTTCCTGTGTAAGAGGGGATAACGGACCGAGGAAGACAAACTGGAGAAGGAATCAACTGGCAGAACTGCTCCCTCGGGGATAGCGGCGCCACAGCAGAAACCAGATTGCCATATCTGATAGGCAAAGAATCATGATAGGTACTGGACAGCAGAAACGCTGGAAGCGGATAGGTTGGCGGGTCTTCGGTCGGCAAGTGCCCGCGTACCGGCGCATTGAGGCGCACCCAACGCGCATAGAAAAAAAAAGAGAGAGAAAAGATACAACCCCCGGTCCCCGATTGCTCCTGCGTCATTCCTAGGCGCACACGAGGTGGGGGGAGGGGCAACTCTGGACATTCTTTTGGGGGCAGAAGTGGCAGGATCAGGGGCTGGCGGGGGACCAAACAACTCAATGGACTGGACCTTCCTCTCCTTCAAACCCTCCACCACCTGCTTACCTTGGGTGGTAGAGGGCAGTAGAGAAGGGAGAGATAGATACCTCGCACTTAGGAGCGTTATCACCCGAACGCAGGTACTCTACGTGGCACTTACCTCACCTTTCACACTTACATTGTACCTTCCTTACCTTGGGCAGTAAAGTACATGGCGGATAGACAAATAGGCGACCAAACAAAAAGACGAGGTGCAAAGGATACCGAGCTCATTAGTCGTAGCTTCCTGTCCCGTCTACTGCCTGCTTACATGATTCCCGCCGTGTTGCGCGTATACAAAAGAGCTCTCCCCCATCTTGTCCAGGCGCATCTTTTGCTGTTCCACGATAACTTCTCTCTCTCCCTCTCTTCCTATTCCGAGTCTTTTGCTTTCTATTCCAAGATACCACCGACTCTATAGTGTAGACCCCAAACACTGCCCAAAATGTCCCAGACCTCCCGTACCTTCACCCTCAACACGGGTGCCAAAATTCCCGCCATCGGCTTGGGAACTTGGCAGTCCGGCCCCAACCAGGTCAAGCTTGCCGTCGAGTCTGCCCTGAAGAACGGCTACCGCCACATTGACACTGCTTTCGCCTACCAGAACGAGAAGGAGGTTGGCGACGGCATCATTGCCTCTGGCGTCCCCCGCGAGGAGATTTGGCTCACCACCAAGCTCGACAACCCCTGGCACAAGCGCGTTCCCGAGGCTATCACAAAGTCCCTCGAGAACCTCCAGACCGACTACGTCGACCTCTACCTCATGCACTGGCCCTCCAGCACCGACCCCGATGACCTCAAGAAGCACTACCCCGACTGGGACTACGTCGACACCTGGCGCGAGCTGCAGAAGCTCGTCGAGACCGGCAAGGTCAAGAACATTGGTGTCTCCAACTTTGGCCTCACCCACCTCGAGCGCCTTCTTAGCGACCCCTCCACCAAGGTACTTATCTCTTCTTTCCTTCCAGAATTGCCCATGCTAACAACATGCTCAGATCGTCCCCTCCGTCAACCAGATCGAGCTTCACCCCTGCAACCCCTCCCCCAAGCTCCTCGACTACTGCAAGTCAAAGGGCATCCACGCCACCGCCTACTCGTGCCTGGGCAGCACCGACTCCCCCCTCTACACCAACCAGACCCTCCTCGAGATCGCAAAGTCCAAGGACCGCACTCCCCAGCAGGTCCTCCTCCAGTGGGGCCTGGCCAGAGACGTCAGCGTCATCCCCAAGTCCGTCTCCGAGGGCCGCATCAAGGCCAACTACGACCTCGACGGATGGTCCCTCACCGATGACGAGATCAAGAAGATCTCCGCCATCCCCGACCGCTTCAAGGTCTGCGACGGCACCTTCCTTCCCGACGGTGTCAAGGTCTTCTTTGGTGATGATGAGTAAATTGTTCAGTCCGGGCAGGAATGTAATGAGTGAGAAGAAGTGGTGAACTCACTCACATAATGAGTTGAAAAAGCAACGAAACAACGCTACGGCGTGATAACACATGCTGCTACACTAAGCAGGCAGCTGGGACGTAGTAGTCCTTGATATACATGAAATGAATAAATGATCTTTAAAAAGAAGGCAAAGTCCCCATTCATCCCATCTCGCTCATCAAAGCTTCGGCTTGTGCTTCTCTTCCCTCAGAATATCAGCCACATTCTCTCGCAACTCTTTTGCAAAATGCTCCGCATCCTCATCATCCAGCTCTTCCCTCCGGCCCCGCCCAAACATGGTGAAGCTCTCGCTATACCGACCGCTCGCGCGTATCTCGGGTCGCGGAATGAGGTGGAAGTGCATATGCATCACAACCTGCGCCGCCGCGGCCCCGTTATTCTGCACCACGTTCCAATCCTCCACGCCCGTCGTGCGCGCCAGGGCGTTGGACAACACGCGCAGATACCGGCCCATCTCGGCCGATTCCTCGGGTGAAGCGTCGGTCAGTTTCGGACGGTGAGCGCGAGGGCAGAGGAGGAGGTGGCCCCGAGATAGGGGGAGGATGTCGAGGAAGGCGACGAGGAGAGGGGTCGAGAGGACGATGAAGGCGGGCGTAGGGATGCGGTTTGGGTCGAGGGTTGCGTTGGGGCCGTCGTCTTGTGGGGGTTTGGAGGGGTCGTAGGGAGGGTATTCTGTTGCGATTACGCAGAAGGGGCATTGGCCTTCTGGGTGGGATAGACCCGCGTCGAATTGGGAGTTTGGTGTCATGATGGGGTGGTCCGAGGCGGGATCGTGATGTTTGTGATTGTGTAGGAAGTCGGGGGGAGCTTTGGCATTATCGGGCGTATGAAGTCGTGATTATGATTTGGGGGGGGTTTAGAAACGCCCGCTGTGTTGTCGCTTTGGAACTATACAGGGCTCGAAGGAATCTTGGGAATCTGAGAAGAAAAAAAGAAATCTAGAGGAAGATCCGAAAGATGCGAGGTTTGGTTGGACAAGCTGCAGCGTCCAAGAGTTAGGTTGTTTCCTCCAAAGTCGCGGCGAGCTCTTTCCCCAGGAAAGGGACGGATAACAAGCGATAACCTCGGGAAGTGGGCCAGCTCAGAGGCCCCCACCTCATTCGCCAGAGCTCCACCGCACCGCTGGACAGCAACCCCGACAAACACACCGGGCGCACACCGCCCGAGGTCAACCTTGGAAACTTCTTTTTTCTGCCGCTCCTATGCGCCTTCACCGCCTGACAAATTGTCATCCCAGCCCCACCACCACTTCTGCCTGCATTTCCAATCCGGCCGCCTCTTGAAAGAAAATCGCCAACACTTCAATATCCGACGCGCCTCGACCACCTCCCAAACGAAACGTCACGAATCTCCACAACCCCCGAAAGACTAGAAAGACAACAAGAAGAGAGAGAGGATATCATTACTCCAACATGTCCCGCGAAGCCTACCAAGTCCCCACCGCCGGCGCCGCCTCGGCGCCCAGCGCGGCCGCCTACCAGTCTTACGGCGCCGAGGGCCCCCAGATGCAATACCTCTGTGGCGACTGCGGTCTCAAGTTCCAGCTGCGTCGCGCCGATCCCATCAGATGCAAGGAGTGCGGATGTCGTATTCTTTACAAGGAGAGGACCAAGAGGTGAGTTTTGACTTGTTTTGGGGAGAGTATTTCTGGGAGACGGTAGAGCGTAGGCTAATTTTTTGGGATAGAATGGTTCAGTTCGAGGCGAGATGATTGGGGTTCAGAAAGATTGAGGGAGAGAGAGCATTTGATATTTGCGCAATGTGTAAGCTGGATGTGGGCGGGATGACAGTAGCGATGCGGTGATGCGCATTCGAGGAACGGCATTGGATGACACACGAAGTTGCAGACTCGAGACTGAGTGGGAAGACGTGCTTGCCTGTCCGGGAAGGAGCCGCATATCCTTCATCAGGGAAGTGGCCCTCGTTCACGAGGAAGAGTGTCTCGTACGAGGGAAATGCATGACAAACAGCCAACTGTTTAAACAGCACATGTGATGCGCAAGGGCTGCGGGAGTTCAAGGTTGGGGGACCAAAATCAATTCATAGAGCAAGGCATTCTTCTGCACCTGTTCCTTTTCCTTTTTTTTTTCGAGGTATCTCATGATAATGCAGCAACCGTCTAAAACGCCATCCCCTTGCCCAATTGTTCATTCTATATCAAATAAATGTGACCCGCGCGTGTGTGCTCCAGTAGCGCCGTAACATATCATGTCGGCCGCGTGTGCAGATACTTTGCGAAACTGCCGTCAGCCATGATGGAGTCGCCCTCGGCCTCCATCGCCGCCTCGTACCGAGCCTGGAGACCTTCGCGGTCATCCTCGTCATCCGGCATATCATCATCGTCCACGTCGCTGGCGACATCCACATCATCGTCATCGTCATCGACTGGCTTGACGACCATTGGCTTCTTGCCCGCGTCCACCGACATACCCTTCATCATCTTCTCCACCTCGTGATCGCGGGCCAGGCGCTTCTTTTCTTCACGCTCCTCACGCCTGCGCTTCAGCTCGGGGAGGTAGTCCTGCTTGAATTCCTCGGCCTTCTCCTCCACCGCGGCGAAGAACTCGTCCATGCCCGTCCCGAGGCGTGAGCTGACGGGGACAAAGCTGAGGTGGGAGTAGAACTCCTCGAGCATGAGACTCATGGAGTTGAGGAGGCTGCCCATGTAGCCGGAGCCGCCGCTGCCGCCCTCGGACGTCTCGTAGCCGCCAATAACGTCGCTCATCTCGTCTTGCTGGAGAGCTTGCTGGAAAGCCTCGAAATCCGTCATCCACTCCTTGGCAAATGTTGCGTCTTGCACGTCGGTCTTGTTGAAGACCAGGATCATGGGGAGCTTGGTCTTGTAGAGGATACTGCATGCGTACAGCATGTTGGACATGAATGTGCTCGTGGAGGTGGTTCGAGGGGTATCGATAACGTAGGCGATGACGGTCGGGAAGGAGGACGCGAGAGACTCGAGGAGGATGGTTCCACTGGCGGACCAAACGAAGACCTCAATCTGTCCGGCTGCGGCGGTGTTAGCAAAGAGTGAGTCTGCCGAGATATTCAGCAGACTTACGAGTATCGACAAGGATGTTATTGATGGGCTTCTTGTCGGGGTTCGCTGGGTCTGGTGCCGCACGCTTGTCGAGAAGGTTGACGATTTGATCGACCTTGGTCGCGAAGAGGTTCAGGGACGTGAGGATGCCACCGTTCGGTCCCAGGTTGTACTGCTTCATAACCTCTTCATAGTTGACCGAGTCGCGGATGTCAATGTTGCTTTCGAAAGGGACGTTGAGCACAGCGGGGTCCAGGTTGATCACGTAGGGGGGATCCTGCTTGCCGTGCAGGTATGAGTTGATGCGTCGCATAAAGGTCGTCTTGCCGGAGCCTGGTGGTATTGGTCAGCGACACGGTGGGTGTCTGGCGCGGTGCGTGTGTGTATTGCTTACCGGCCATGCCGACGACGACGATAGCAGTCGGGGTTTGAGTGGCCGCATTCTCAGCGGGGGTTTCTGCGGATGTTGAAGCCATTCTGGTGTGGTGACGGGAATCTGCGTGTGGCTCTTCAACTGTTACGGGAGGACGATCGCTAAGAAAAAAGTTCTGGAAGAGTTGGAAGAGCTGAGTGCCCCGCGCGGGGCGTCGGAATGGACGAGACCCCCCCTGTAAGTTGGAACGACTAGGTAATCCAACACCCCCCTGTCATTCTCAAAATCTTTGTGGTCCGTGCTGGGAAAGTGACGTTCCGCCGGCGTCGCCAATTCGTTCTGGGAACCTGCAGAAAAACAGGCCATTGCAGCTAATAGCTCCATCGTCAACTAACACTCCAAGCTTCACACCTCTAGCCACAGCAACAATGGACGGCCTCGACGAATTCGAAAAGGCTCTCGCAGCAGAGAAGGGCGAGAAGGACCGTATTGAGCGCGAAAAAGAAGAACGTCGACAGAGGAAGAAGCAGCGCAGTCACCATCACCATCATCGCGATCGATCTTCTGACAGACATCAAGAACGCGATCGCGAATCACACCGCAGTCGAGATGGCGACCGCAACCGCGACCGAGACCATGATAGCCGCCGACATCACAAATCTCGCCGCCATGACGAAGACGGCGAGGATGGTCACAGACAAAAACGCTCTCGCCATGAAAAGGACGATGAGGAGCGGCGACCGAGGCACAGGAACAGAGAAAGAGACGACGAACGGCGGACGGACACACACGAGAAAATATCAGATCCAAAAGAGGACTTGCCGATTGCGGACGAAGAAACAACACAGAACGCCAAGGATGCGGAGGCACCGCTGATGCGTGATTCTTGGATGACTGCGCCGTCGGCCCTCGACATTGACTACGTTCAGCGGAAACAGAAGGAGGTTGAGCCACCACCAAAGGAAGAGCCGCCGAGAGTTATTCACGATAGGGAGATCAACAGAGACTTTGCCGAAGTAGACAATGTTCCGACCTCGGATGAGCAGCTTGCGACAAAAGAGCGGACAGTTAACTACACATTTGGTGACAACGGCTCTCAGTGGCGCCTGACGAAACTCAAGGGTGTCTATTCTATGGCTGAAGAATCAGGCCGCTCGGTTGAAGATGTTGCACTTGAGAGGTTTGGCGATTTGCAAGAATTCGACGACGTGAGAGAAGAAAAGATCGAAATAGACCGGCGCAAGGTGTATGGAAGTGGTTACGTAGGCAAGGAGAAGCCTACGGGAGACCTATATCGAGAGCGTATGGAGAAACACCAACAAGAGGAGACAACAGCCGCACGAGACGACACCTGCGATGTGGAACAGGGCGTTATCATTCCCCACAATGCCATGCAGCATACGCCCATGGACCAGACTGCCTTGAACCGACTGCGAGCTCAGATGATGAAGGCGAAGCTCCGCAGAGCACCGGACGCTGCCAAGTTGGAAGCCGAGTACAACCAGGCCGCAGCGAACTTTGCCACGAACGGACCGCAGTCTGTTGTTCTTGGTGTCATGGATAACCGAATGCTAGCAGGGACTCGTGCAGAAGTTAAGGCCATCGACAACAAACGTGGGCGGGAGCGCGGAAACGTGGAGGCCAACGACGAAATGTCCATCGAAGACATGGTTCGCGAGGAGCGCAGGACGCGCGGTCAAGCTGGCGGCGAAGGCATGCGGCTCGCCGAGCGCATTGCCAAGGATGGCAAGTTCGATGACAACCTTGATTACATGGACGAGAATGCGGACAAGCTTGCCAAGCGAGTTCACAAGTCCGAGGTCAACCTCAAGAACGTGGCTGTCAACGAGTATCAGAAGGTGTCGCGGATATTGGACAATTGCCCTTTATGCCACCACGAGGACAAGGGACAGCCTCCCCTGGCACCGGTCATCTCTCTTGCCACGCGCGTCTTCCTGACGCTGCCTACGGAACCTGAGGTCAGCGAAGGCGGCGCTGTCATAACACCCATGGCGCACCGCAAGAACCTATTGGAATGTGACGACGACGAATGGGAAGAGATTCGAAACTTTATGAAGTCTCTGACGAGAATGTACCATGAAAAGGGCCAGGAAGTCATTTTCTACGAGAATGCGGCCACGCCGCAGAGGCATCTTCACGCGGCTATGATGGCCATACCGATCCCGTATGAAGAGGGCGCCACAGCTCCGGCCTACTTTAAAGAGGCCTTCCTCACCACCGAAGACGAGTGGTCGCAGCACCGGAAAATCATTGACACGGCCGCCAAGGCGAGAGATGGCATGGGCAGGATGGCGTTCCGGAGGAGCATCGCAAAGGAGATGCCTTATTTTCACGCCTGGTTCACGCTCGACGGCGGCCTCGGGCACATTGTCGAGAACTCTGACCGCTGGCCGAGGGGAGACCTGTTTGCAAGGGAGATAATCGGGGGCATCCTAGACGTCGGGCCGGACGTGATCAAGAAACAGGGACGGTGGAACAAGGGCGACCGGAGAGTCGAGGGTTTCAAAAAGAAATGGAGGAAGTTCGACTGGACCCGCGTCCTAGCCGATAGTTAAGCTTAACCACAAATGGAACGTAATAATCATGGCTATACGAATATCCGGAGATCGAAACGATAAACCTCGGTTGAGAGTTCCGAGAGGGCCGTGAAAGAATGAAAGGATTGGTTCGAGACTTGGGGTCTAGGGGAGGAGGCTGGCACGTTGGCTGGGTCTCCAAATTCCAATATGTTTTTTCTCGAAGCTTCATCCCCGCCCCCGTCACCTGATGACACCCACGTCGAGGCCCAGACTGCTGGAACTTGGCACCCCCAGCCATACCAACGCAGACCAACGAAGCTATTGTTGGTATTGTAACTTGTTGGAGGCGCAATATCCGAAAATTGCGGGCGAGCAGGGGCCCACCACCTCCAGGTCGCGCAGGCGCACCAATCGTCAGCGTGCCGAGTCTGGGGTCTCCCCCGGTAACCCCGCGATGAGTCCCCGCAGTTCGGGCCGTCTCCATTCTGTCAGCTGCTGCTTTGCTTGCCGTCTTGAGTGTGTATGTCCGTTGGAAATCTTCCGTCGAATGGTCACATTGGACCGAGAAGAGAACGCAAAAGAAAATCAGAGATTGCCGAGACCCGTGACGACTGACAGCTCGCTTGCGTCTATTTTGAACCCTTGCCAGAGTGGTGAAATCATGGTTCGACTTGATGCCTAGCCCGGTGGGCGGTGAGGGGGGAGATTCTTCTGATTGATATATATGTATATATATATATATATATATATATACACTGGACATTCTCGTAGTCGAGAAGAAAGCTTGGAGGACTGGCTCTTTGTGTGTCTCAATTGCTGTGATATCATCTCCATCATGAAGTTGCTCTCTCTCCTCGGCCTCACGGCTCTGGCCACGGCTGTTCCGGCCCCGGAGCCTGTTAAGTACGTCCTCACCCCTTACAACTCATGACTTACACGGGGAACGTACCTTGTACCTACCTTGAGGTACTCGAAGAACGACAACGGAAAGCTAACATGAAGAAACCAACAGCACCGGCCCCGGCCACGGCAAGCCCTTTTTCTACAAAGGCCACGACCTGAGCTCCCTCAAGATGCTCGAGGAGAACCAAAACATCTACATCGACACGGCGCGCGGCAACGCGACCCGTCCCGCCGACGACATCCTCGCTGACGGCGGCATGAACGCCGTCCGCCTCCGCCTGTGGGTGAACCCACCCGACGGCACCTATGGCCTAAACTACACCATCGACCTCGCCAAGCGCTTCCAGGCCAAGGGCCAGCGCATCTTCTTGGACTTCCACTTTGCAGACAGCTGGGCCGATCCGCAGAAGCAGCCGCTGCCCGCGGCGTGGCCTACGCAGCTGGAGCCCCTGGCCGGTACGCTGCGCAACTACGTCCGCGAAACGCTCGTCGCTTTCAAGGATGCCGGTGTGACGCTTGATATCGTTTCGTTGGGCAACGAGCTCCGTCACGGTACCTTGTGGCCTCTGGGTCAGGTTTCCGTCGACGTGCAGCCGTGGTCTGCACTGGTGAAGAACTTTACCAACTTTGCGACGCTGTACAAGGCTGCGCGGGCGGGCGTGAAGGACGCGACCTGTGCCGGCGTGCCCAAGCCCGAGATCATGATCCACCTCGACAACGGCTGGAACCTGACGCTGCAGGAGCGGTGGTACGGCGCGCTCGTCGATAACGGGGTTCCGGTGTCGGCGTGGGATAGCTTTGGGTTCAGTTTCTACCCTTTCTACGGCACGTCGGCGACGTTTGCGAACCTGAAGAACACGCTCAAGGTGTTGGGTGAGAAGTACGGCAAGCCGATGCAGGTTGTGGAGACGGATTACCCTGCGATTTGCAACGGGCAGTGGAACCCGATTCCGGAGAGCTCGGAGCCGAGTATCCCGTATAATGTTGATGGACAGGTGCAGTGGATGAAGAAGCTGCTCAAGACTGTGAGGGAGACGCCCAAGGGTCTTGGACAGGGTGTTTGGTACTGGGAGCCTGGTGAGCATGACCCCATTCTTCCAAGTTGACTGTGGGATAGATTGCTAACTGCTGACAGCGTGGTTGAACAACACGAGCTTGGGAAGTGACTGCAACGACGCCGTCTTGTTTGAGCCGGATTACAGCCAGTGGCCCAAAACATTCGGCTACTCGCGGTCGTCTGTCAACGTCTACTTGGAGAAGTAGGCCAGTGCGTGGCACAAGGTCTAGGTTGGAGAGTTGCGGTCTGGACTTTGGAGAGCTTGCCCTCGAGCCATGGCACGAGAGCAGTGGTCGCAAGCGGCAAGCGGATATCATCGCTGCTTGAGTCAGAACAGTTTCGATACTAATGATAATTCAAAAATACCCAAAGGTTACGGAGTACAATTTGAGTTGGGCGGTCTCCATCCTCACTTGACTCGGCCGTTGTCTTCCGTCTGTTGGCTGGAAGTAAAGAAACGGCTGGAAGCTGTTGTCTTGTATAGTAGTTAATCCGAACTCTCGCTCTCGACCTATTGCCCTGTCTACCTACTGTTCTTGGTGAATTTTGACTTGATGTGGCCTTTGATCGAGAGACCTATAGTCAAAGGCCAAGGTGGGCTTCGTGGATAATGCCATTCATGCCCCTCAGACACTCACCGCATCCACCACTTGCGAGCCCCTTTCTTTCATGTTCAACTATACAGCAATCGCCCGGCTCCCGAGAAGCGAATTGCATCAGGTTGCGGAAAAGGGGGGTATCTGTCCGGGAAGTGTGTTGCGATGGTGTTGACGTTGCCGACGGCCGACAGCTTGAGATAGTAGGTAGCATTGACAACGTGAATGCCCCGACTCAGTTGGATGGGTGTCTTCATCTCTTCATACTTTTCATTCTTTACCACGGCCATCTCGAGAGATTAAGCAGGAGGGAGGCGATGAGAAACAAAATGTGACAGATTAAAACAAAGTAGTGGTTGCCGCGATCAGGTAGGACGGTCAGGGTTCATCCTGCTGGGCAGGACCCCTATGTTTAACAAGCTCATGCTTTCACCGCAGCGCCGTTCCGTAACTCTGTTTCGATTGGGCGCGAGGCGGGAGGGCGTCATAGTCATGTTGGCTTTGGACACATGAGATTGTTGGGAAGGATGTGACTTGTTCATCAGCCGGTCCGTTCTACGGGGAGTCTGGAATGAAAAGCTTGACGAGGTGATAAGTGGGTGACATGCCGCTCTGTACCCTGGCTCTATCTCTTTCTCCTACCAATGCTATGAGCAATGATGGCATTATTCTTCTTCTTGTGATTTCTATCCTTTACTTTTCTTAGAGCGCATATTCCATGTTGAATATATCAGATATAAGAAGTAACAATAATAAAAGCAGTAGCAGCAAGAATAGTAGGAATATCTGTAGAGCCAAGGTACATCGTGTTGAGCGGCAAGGTACTGTGTGGTAAGTCAAAAATAGTGGTGAGAATAGAAGCTTCACCCCCGTACGTCACCAGCCATGCGATGGTCGTGGGAAACAGCGGTTACCCCACGATTGTACGCGTGTATGAAACGGGAGCATTGATCGGGAGAGCGAGAGTCGTGTTTGGGGTTTCTGTGCAGGGACGGGGCTAAAGGGTGTCAGTCGGTTTGAAGAAACGGACGAAGTTTGTGGATGCGTGTGTGTGTAGTCCCGTCTGAATAAGGTGCCTCGCACATGAGGCTGTCTTTGGATGAATATACAACACTCTTGGTCTGAGGAGTGAGGGTCGGTGTAAGTGAGTGAGTGAGTGAGTGAGCGAGTGAGGTGAGGTGAGGTGGTGGTGAGTGACCTTGGATGGACACTGACTGGTGAGAGAACCTGAGGTCCCGAGAAGGATGCGCGAAGGAGGTGGTGGTGGGGGGGGGGGCGCAGGTTGGCGAATGCACTGTGCGTCGCACGGAGGATTGCGGCTTCGGTAAGGTCGGGGGCCGTCGGGGAGCTCTCGAGGTCCGGCGTCCACCCGCATTGTCTTTGCTGCCCATGTTTCTGTCAAAAGTTGTGGTCAAATGGTCAAGACTACGTATCCAATTTTAGCTGGGCGATTCTGCGGCCTACCTGATGGTGATCTGTGGGGAAGTGGTCCGTCCAGTGGATGGAAGGGAAGGTGCCAACGTCACAGTGTTAATTCCGAAGAAGGTGTGGCTTGGTCCGAATATCCGCCGATGGAGTTGAGAATGGGGAGGAAAGAGCTCTCTGTACGGATACCTAGCAGGTGACTGCCGTGACTGCCTGATGCCTCACCTTCCTTTCGTGGACGGACAGGACGGGAAGATACTTGTCGGTTGTATCTTTTAGAGTTCCATTGCTTTGAAGCACGCAAAGCAGCAAACCTGCAGCACCATTCCATCGTCTTGTCTTATTCCCGCCCTTTTCTTACTGCCTGCAGTCAAGCAAGGCAAATAGATACCAGGATCAATCTTTCTCGGTTGCAGGGCGCTTCATTACCTGCGTTTGGACTTGCTCCATTTCTTTTTAGATCCTGTCCCTCCCATCTCTTCCTCCCTCTCCTATTATATTCCCCTCCCGTCGCATCCGTCCTACATCGCCTTTGCCAAGTGTGAAGATCTTTTTCTTCTTCATTTTCATTGCTACTGACTTGCTACTTGCTGTCACTGCTTTCCTGTCAGACCAGCGGGAACAAAACCTCCGTCGCCTCCTCCAAATCACCAAATCAGCGATACCGGCCAATCGTCCGCGCCTCCCGTGCGCCACAGCGAAGCACATCAGTACCCTTTTCTCTCGCTACGGTGTCGTCATTCGTCACTCGTCACTTCCCATACCCAGCCTTTCGAAGCCACCGCCTGCAGAGAGCACATCAAGGGTCCTCGTCACCCTCGATCATATCTTTTTCTGCATCCCTCCCGTTTCACTTCGATTTGCTTGCCAAATCGTTACCTCATTTTGAGGCAATAGGACGAATCGATAGCGGCGCACCTTATCGATCCGGCTCTCCCAACCCGAAGCCAAAAGCACAAACCAACACAGCCGAACCAAACCGAACCACCGCCTTCCGGTCGCCGCCACTCTTCTCTCGTTTCATTCTTTATCATTTCCCTCTTCTAGAAATTCATTCCCACCCCGGGCGCCTCCTCTCGTAATCCGTCACCATGTCGTGGGAACTATCTCGCCGTCGCATTGTCCGAGCTGTCAACAGCAAATACATTTACGGACGTCTCGTATGCCAACCCCTTCCATAGCATTGTCGTACCTGCTCCATTCGTTCCTTTTCGTGTTGCTCCTAGAACATTCCTCGCACGATCGAATCTGAATCATTGCCTGCTTGTCTCGCTTTCCCGTCCGCCACATTTGTACTCCCTGCGCTCTCTGCCATCGCTGCATCATTTCCATCTACGCTGATTGCGCCGCACCTGATTAAATCAACTTTGCGCTGACCTACGACCTGCCTCTAGCCACTGCTTCACGCAGTCATCATCCTTATCGAAATGGCGCTCGTTGCCAGGTTGGTGTCAAAGTTCAACCAATACTACGATGAACGGCCACGTACGTGCCACCAAGACTCGGAAATCTAGAGTTCGCCACATCATGATACATCACCCATACTGACTGCTTCCTTCCAACAGTGCTCACCATGATGGTGACCAACGCCATCCTCGGTGGCATCGCCGACACGACAGCACAAACAGTCACCGCTCTCCGTCTGAAAGCTGTCCGTAAGCCTGGTGGCGTCGACAAGCACGATGGCATCGCTATCGAGATCCATGACCTCGACCTCAAGAACCCCTTCTACGAGAAGGACCTCATTCCCGACCACAGCAATCTCCCTCCTCCGTTCGACTTCGAGCGCCTGACCCGCTTCATGGCCTACGGTTTCGGCATGGCGCCCCTCCAGTTCCGCTGGTTCAAGTTCCTGTCGGCCACCTTCCCCATCACCAAGACCAGCGCCTTCATCCCCGCCATGCAGAGAGTCGCCTTTGACCAGCTCATCTTCGCACCCTTTGGTCTGCTGTGCTTCTTCTCTGTCATGACCGTCGCTGAGGGTGGTGGACGCCGTGCCGTCATGAGCAAGCTGCGTGACATGTATATCCCCACACTCAAGGCCAACTTCATTGTCTGGCCTGCTGTGCAGGTTGTCAACTTCCGCCTGATGCCGATGCAGTTCCAACTGGTCAGTTCAAGCGATCGAACGGTGGAAATTGGCAGGAAATGCTAACACTTTATAGCCCTTCGTCTCCACGATCGGTATTGCCTGGACCGCCTACCTCTCCCTCACCAACTCGTCCACCGAGGTTGATAACCGCCCCGGAGCCCGCGAGGACGATCACATTCGCCTCAGCTAAATTCGATAACTACCCTTGATTTCCTCACATTTTCAATCTGCAGGTCGGCATGGGATAGGTCTGGTCAACAACCATGGCGGACAAAGGAGAAGGTTATACCAATCAAGCCTAGCTGTGCTTAGGATTTCGCGCGATCGTTATAAAGAAAAGACAGCGACGGCATGCACGGCATGGGCTGCTTCAACGGATACAGGCGTCTGGTGTTTTGGATCCGAATAATGGATATTGGACGGCCGTCTTTTTATCGTCTCTCTTTTGTAGTAAGCAGTTGTAAAACGCAACGGAATTGAACAAGATGGTTGATCTCTGATATCAGATGCTTTGAACTATGTGTGGTCTGAGAATGTTGTAATAGTTCCGGTTTTGGACCGGCGTATCTCTCGGCCATATTTGAAGCTTGTCACTGAGAGCAAACCCCGGTCACCTTGGCTCAAGGGGGGATGTTGCTGGGAAATGCTAGAGCAGGTTTTTAAGCACAGCCCTTGGAACAGGATTGACATATACCAATAATAGCGGGTGAAACGGAAGCAAAAGGTAGCCAAGATGCTGCAGGTTCTATCCTCGTGTTTTGTTTTGCCTCGTCTCCCGTGTCGGGCGATGTTTGGCTGCGGTCCGTTGATTCCGGGCGGACGGCCGTGACCGGGGGCGGGGGCGTGGTTGAGGAGCAAGCAAAAGCGCAGTGCAGTTTCTGTGAGGTATCAGACTACCATCACGTCACACACCCATGGCGGGGCAGGCCGCAAGCACTGCATCTCAGCACCCCCGTTGTCGCACCTGGCCGATTTAGTGGGAAAGCAATGAACAGGGCACCTAAGGTATGGTAGGTAAGCACGGCTCACCTCCACTGATACGCTCAATCTACCAGACCTGCAGGATGGCCGAAAATCAACCCCGCCAACAGCAAAAAAAAAAAAAAAAAAGTCATGCAAAAAACCGCCGAGTGAAAATGCCCCTCCTTTTACCTCATCCTGCTGGCTCTGTCGGTAGCGCCCAGGTCGCTGGCAGTAGCAGTAGCACCCCACCATTGCAAGCTTCCCAACGTGAGGTGCCCGGGCGTGTTGAACCACTCGAATTGACTGATTGCTGCATGTTTTACCCCCTGCCCGCGCCGTCTTTAGAAATGTCCGGCGTGGTGTCCCTCCCTCACTCCATCCATCCCACCTTAAGGTAGGTACCTCAGGTAGGTGAGGTGAGGTGGGCAAGGTAGGTAGCCTGGTAGCTAGCTAAATATACCTCAGACCTTTTACTTCCTCAACGTCTTCCCTCCCCTCCTCCTCTTCTTCTCTTCAACCTTCAACTTCTACCTTTCATCCTCACACATTTGCGCACCTCACAACCGCAATCATGTCTCTCGCCAACAAGCTCTCCATCACCGACGTCGACCTCAAGGGCAAGCGCGTCCTCATCCGCGTAAGTCATACCACTCTAACCATGTACATGCCCTGGCGTTGAGAATTGCTGGGGACGGTCCTGGTGTTGTTGGTGGTGCTGTTGCTGCTGCTGCTGTTGCTGTGCTGCGCTGCTGCTCAGATTACCCCACCATGCCACCATGCCACTCGCGCCTGAACCCGGGTATCACCTCACACCCGTTCCGTATTCTGGCGATACGGGACGAGCCGCGGGTATTCGACTCGGCCACCCTCCACATGCTTCCCTTGACGGCATTGGAATACACCGAGACCGTTAGGCACGCTTTCAAGAGCCGCTGCCCACTGAGCCGGGACTACTGAACACCCCTAGCTAACCCCTCACTTAGGTCGACTTCAACGTCCCCCTCGACGCCGACAAGAAGATCACCAACAACCAGCGTATCGCCGGTGCCGTCCCCACCATCAAGTACGCCATCGACAATGGCGCCAAGGCCGTCGTTCTGATGTCCCACTTGGGCCGTCCCAACGGACAGGAGAACCCCAAGTACAGCCTGCAGCCCGTCGTCCCCGAGCTCGAGAAGCTGCTCGGCAAGAACGTCCAGTTCGCCAAGAACTGCGTCGGCAAGGACGTTGAGGACCTTGTTAACAAGGCCACCGACGGCCAGGTCGTCCTTCTCGAGAACCTGCGCTTCCACATTGAGGAGGAGGGTTCCGCCAAGGACAAGGAGGGCAACAAGACCAAGGCTGACAAGGCCAAGGTTGAGGAGTTCCGCAAGGGCCTCACTGCCCTCGGTGATGTCTTCATCAGTATGTTTCCTTACTCTTATCTGACATTGACAATCATATCTAGTACCGTAGGCTAACTCGATTACCAGACGACGCCTTTGGCACTGCTCACCGCGCACACTCCTCCATGGTCGGTGTCGACCTGCCCCAGAAGGCCTCCGGTTTCCTCATGAAGAAGGAGCTCGAGTACTTCGCCAAGGCCCTCGAGAACCCCCAGCGTCCCTTCCTCGCCATCCTCGGTGGCGCCAAGGTCTCTGACAAGATCCAGCTCATTGACAACCTGCTGGACAAGGTCAACACCCTCATCGTCTGCGGTGGCATGGCCTTCACCTTCAAGAAGACTCTCGAGAACGTCAGCATCGGCGACTCTCTCTTTGACGAGTCCGGCTCCAAGACCGTCGGCAAGCTCGTCGAGAAGGCCAAGGCCAACAACGTCAAGCTCGTCCTCCCCGTCGACTACGTCACCGCCGACAAGTTCGACAAGGACGCCAAGGTCGGCTCTGCCACTGACGAGTCCGGCATCCCCGATGGCTGGATGGGTCTCGACTGCGGCCCCAAGTCTATTGAGCTCTACAAGCAGGCCATTGATGAGTCCAAGACCATCCTCTGGAACGGCCCCGCTGGTGTCTTTGAGTTTGACAACTTTGCCACCGGTACCAAGTCGACGCTCGATGCCGCCGTCGCCGCTGCCGAGGGCGGCAAGATTGTCATCATCGGTGGTGGTGACACGGCCACCGTTGCCGCCAAGTACGGTGTCGAGAGCAAGCTCAGCCACGTCTCCACCGGCGGCGGTGCCAGCTTGGAGCTCCTCGAGGGCAAGGAACTGCCCGGTGTCACTGCTCTGTCGAGTAAGTAAATCATTCCTCGTACAGTGGAGGATGAAGCCTCTGTGGACTCGATCGGTCTGATAGATGGGAAAAGGCCGGGCTGGTAAGGCCAGTCTTTAGGGCTCGGGATGAAAGAAATGCGCTTGCGGGATGCAACGAACGCAGAAGCACATGCCGGAAAAAGGGGGGCGCTCATGATGAACGTAATGCCCTCGTGTCATGTCCTAGGATCCTTAAACGTCACGATATCAAATAAACAGTAAAAGTTGAGACACGTCTCGTCCCAAAGGTGGATTTGAAAACCTCGCGTGCCCTGTTGTGATTTCATTCCTGGTATGTCGCCCAGTCGTATAGAGCCCGTTACGTAGTGTGTAGTCTATGCCGTGATCCCCACCCAGTCACCCATGCGTCATCCTGCCTCCCGTTATCGTACCACGCACACCGTGGATTGTTCATCGCCTCTTGGATGCCTCGACCTTCTTCAACTCCTCCCTGCAGTATTGTTAGCAACTCTGGCTGGTATGGTTTCAGGACCTTTGAGGGTCGAGGGGTGGTTATCATACTTCAACTGCGCCGAGAAGTCGTCGCTCGTGTCATCGTCATCCCAGCTCTCCTCCCACAGGTGCTGCGTCGAGCCACTGCCGCCCGCAGCTGCCTCGGTCTCTTCCTGGGGCCAGTCTGTCGCCAGTCGTAGTTAGCATTCTGTCATTTGGCAAACGAAGAAGAGTAGCGTTGCGTTCGTCTTTATTGCTGATGATGACCCTCTCCAACATGGCCTTTGAGTAATGATGAACACCGATACAAGGGTGTCATCATCCTCAGCTTAAAGCTGAAGCAGTAGATGCCTTCCAAACACCATGGGAAGGGTATCGATAGGGAGGGTGGAGAGATGGAAGACGTACCATCAACAGGGAAATCCTCAAACTCGTCATCCTCGCCGAGCGCGGGCTTCTTCGCCGCCGCCTGCTGCTGCGTCGTCTCGTCGGCCTTGGGGTCTGCGGCGGAGGCGGTCTTGTCCTGGGGCTTTGCGTCCGAGGAGGCCATTTTTGTGCGGGAATGTGATCTTGTGGTGGTGGATTGGAAAGTCAAGGCTACGAGGACGGCTGGCTGTTCTTTGCGGGATTGCGGTTATCGTCACCTGAAGGGAGGGTAGGATTGAGTCGGAGTGTAGAGGGTTTCGTGGGTTCACGGTGTTGCTGATTGGTGTTGTGGTGGAGTTTGTGGTGTTGAATGTTGCGGATTGGTGATGTTGGGGAGGAGCTAGCTTGCTTGCAGGCGAATGGAGGTAAACGCGGGCGGACGGTCGGTGGTGGAAGGTTGTCGACGGGCGGAAGTTGCCGGCTGCGGTTGGTGCTGGGTGCTGGTGCTGCTTGCAAGGCGAGGTGAGAGCAGGCGGCACTGGGAAGGCGTAATGCTGGCGCTGGCGTCGGAGGTGGGGTGTGGGATTAGCTTAGGCGTGCTAGTGGGCTGGTGGGATTGAGGTGCACCCCCGTAGCAACTTCTCCCCACTACACACCGAGGTCTACTAAGGTTGAGCTCGGTGAGGATGGCTTCATCTGACGACTCCATTTCCTTCTTCTCCCTGGAGCTTGGGGACTTCTTGAGAACTGGCTTAATTCATTGAGAGAAATGGAGGATTCAAAACAGTGTTTAAAAAAAATATTGGGCTTGTGAGAACGACGGGCAGACTCATGAGAAACTGCCGTGTATGGGGACCGCAGTCTGAGCTTGGGCAAGCAGCCTTAAACTCTTGGGAATATGTTCCATCAAACACGCCAGTCATTCTAACCTAGAAATGAAGTGAACGTCCATTCAGGAAAGAATAAGCAAAATAAACCTGGAGAAGACCAAAAAAACAAATAAAATCAATCCCATGGCATATAGGTAGTATATCAACGGCTGACACTCCTTCGCCACGCAGTGAGTTGCCATGGCCAAACATCCCAGAACCCATGACACTCAAGCATATCCATAGTAATTCCGCCTCTCAACATCCCCCAAACACCCATCGCAATATCCCATCTCCCACCGCGTCTCACGCCTCAACCTCCACACACACCGACCGCGAGTCCTGCCACGCGCACATAATTCCGTCCCGCGCTCGACCGTGTGGCGGCAGTCTTCCTTCTTTACTTTCCAAGCTGTGCACATGGTTGCGAGCTTATTGTCTTGTAGAGCTCGAGGGAAGTTTGATGTCGAATACGCAAGAGAGAGAATCTCAAAGTGTTGTTGGAATATGGGATGAGGATGCTGGAGCTGTTCAAAATCAACTGTGAGCATCTATTTTATATAATATTCTATACGCCTATGACTGTGCTTCTCATGAATCGCAGTTGCTACTATGGAACTGAATGCATAACACTCACACCTTGACACAACCCAGTCGGCACGTCATTATCCATGGTCAGAGAGAAAACACCATGACAAACAACGCCGTCCCACCAAGAAACTAGAACCCCAAGGCCGTCAAGGTCTCTGAAGACTGTCGAGAGTTCTACGCATCCTCGTCTTCGTCTTCCTCTCCCTCTTCTTCCTCTTCCTCCTCACCATCGCCTTCGCCCTCCTCACCTTCCTCGTCATCTTCAGCCTCGTCAGCCTCCTCAGCTTCCTCTCCATCTTCAGCCTCTTCGTCCTCGTCAGCTTCTTCAGTTTCCTCACCATCACCTTCCTCAACTTCTTCACCCTCTTCGCCCTCTTCGCCCTCTTCGCCCTCTTCGCCCTCTTCACCCTCCTCGCCCTCCTCCCCTTCATCACCTTCCTCACCTTCATCACCCTCTTCACCCTCTTCACCTTCTTCGCCTTCTTCAACCTCCTCGCCTTCATCGCCCTCCTCGACCTCCTCGCCTTCATCGCCCTCCTCGACCTCCTCGCCTTCCTCACCCTCTTCGCCTTCATCGCCCTCCTCAGCCTCCTCACCTTCTTCGGCCTCTTCGCCGTCACCCTCTTCTTCCTCTTCCTCCTCCTCCTCCTCCTCTTCTTCGCCTTCTTCTCCCTCTTCGTCATCACCGTCACTAGAGTTATTCGTCTCTTCGGCCCGACCGGAATCCACGCTCTTCCTGAGATTAGGGAACATGAGCGAAGGAGGCGGCTGCTCGTCCCAGTCGTCTGGAACATCGCTAAGTTCACTCTCGTCATCCGCGGAATCGTGAATGCTACCCCGCGGACTAGATGCTGCCGTGGCCTGTGCACGCGTCTCGTCCCCTTCATCGACGTCCATGGCAGTGTCGTCCTTCATCTCCGTATCCTCGCCCTCTTCGACTGTGTCTCCTTCGTTGAGCTCCTCAGTGTCACTGCGCTCCCCGGCGTCTCCAGCGGGGGTATGCGTTCCGTTTCTGCCACTCGAAACCGAACCCACACGAGACTTGGAGGGAGCCACTGAAGGTTTCGGCGCTTCACCGTACCGGGCAAACGCCTGTTCCGCCTTGCGAATGATGTCAGGCCGGCGAACGCCCGCTCTGCGCCTCGGGGCTGCCTCGAGTGCTGATGCCGTCTTGTCACCTTCGCCATTGGCCCCCGAGTCTTGCGCTGATGATGGGTTCAATAGATTGCCCAAGGAAGTAGATGGCTTGAGCTCGGTGCCTCCATCGGCTTCTTCCCTGGCACGAGCCCTCGCGCGCGCCTCGAGAACTTCGTGGGGTTCAGGGCCGGGCAGCGAAGGACCAATCTCCTGGTAAATGATGGCGTAACAGTCGTTGATAAGGTCGTCAATCGCCCCAGCCTTCATGAGACCGCCGTTGAGCTTCTTCAACTCGATCGTCTCCTTCAGGCAGTTGAAGGCAGGAATGTCCGTTGCTGGACCTCCAGCCCATTCTGTAATCCGATCTGCCATAATTTCCAGTTCTTCCATCGAAGTCGACTTGAAAGCGTCTTCCAACGTGGGAGCAATTTGGAAGCCCTGCCGCAATAGTCTAAGGTAGGCCATAGAGCACATTTGCCACAAGTCGCCAAAGTGGTAAAAGTCGGCGCCCTTCTTCCGAAGACGCCGGAGGACCATTTCCAAGTTCACTCTGTCGTTCATGACCACCAAAATCTTTACCATGAAACGAATGTACTGGGACGTATAGACGTGGTGTCGTCCAGAACGCTCCGCGTCGCACTTCCAGACATTCATTACCATTGTCTTGGTAAACATGGACTCTCGAAGGACGTTGAAGGCTGCCTTGGCTTGCACAAGCTCAGGCGATTCGCCATCCTCATCGAAAAGCAGTCGGGCATGACGCATGATGATACGGTGCTGCCAATTAGACTTATCCTTGTCCCGTAGGTGATGCAGATTTCGGATCACGTATTCCTCCCAATCTTCGTTATCGTCGAGAGTGATACCATCTCCGAGTTCCATGCCAAAGGGTTGCCTAGACAAAATATCTGCGCCTTCTTGTGGCTTTAACTCGCCTCGAACAACCAGTTTAAACACTATCGAGACGATCTTGTAGTGCGGTTCTAGAATGGGATCGCTATGCCGCGATTTGGGCACCGCCGAAACAACCTCGACTGCGTGCTCGAGGGCTGATATCAAGTACTCAAGGGATGGGCGGGTCTCCCGGTCCTTTTGGCTAAGCTGATCGATGGGCTTTTGGTACATTTTCCAAAGACATTTCGTAAGCATATATGGGTTTCTGTGTAAAGTTAGCCAATGCTCGGCGCAATTGTCAAGGCCAACTTACCTCCAGTCCATTGGTTTACGCCTCATGGCCCGTTTGAACAAGCCAGCTGCGTATTTCCAAACTTTGTAGTCCTGCATCTGGTCGTGAAGGACCCTCTGGAAGGTTCCGTTTCCCTCACTCTCGATGAAGAATCTCTCTTGGTCTGCATGTTGGAAGGGTTCCATAGCGAGAGGCTCGCGGCTGGATGCGTACAGGCGCATCGCAAAGTTATGGTAAAGCTCGTAGAGAGGATCCTCATCCTCGTCATCGATTTCTGCCTCCCAAGAATTGGACAACGCAAGCGTATAGCAGTGGATCGAATTCCGTTGGAACTTGAGCAACTCGCCGCGTTCCTTGTTCATTTTGTCGGCTGACCACAAAACAGCTTCATCGAGTTCGTAGTCGAAGCACTCGGCTAGGCGGAACCAGGCATCCCACTTATCTGGGGTGAACTGAAGTTGGAGCCGCAAGAAAGTGGCCGCAAGTCGCAAGTCGTCAGTAGCACCAGGTGTTTGCCGCTTGCTCAAATCCACCTGCTTAAACCTCGTCAGGGCGATCATGCCTAGGAGGAAGAACCAGCCATGCCTGGCTAAGGCGCTTTCGGGAGTGTTTACAGCAACGACATCCAACTGGACACCGCCGGTGATGGCTTGATAGAGCCGAAGGGGGTGGATCGGCCGCTTCAGGTACTCGGTAAAGTTCCTCAGGTTGTGAATCATCTGAGGCGTCGACTTTGTTTGCCCAATAGCTCCTTGCATGTGCTCGATGGTCGTCTTGAGGTCTGACTTGAGGAGGTCCTTTCGGGGCATTCTCCTTGCCAGTACCGTAATCTTGTCCACAAGCTGCATAGCATTGCGCTTTTCGAGCTTCTCCGGGGGGCAGCCATGGTCCTGAACCTCTCCAGCCCCAACACCAAGTTTGAGACCGTGGAGGTCGTAAAGCACCTGCCCAAGATAGTCTTCCCAATTTTCAATCTTCTTGAACTTGAGCAACTCCACGCGCATCATCTTCAAGAAGATCTTGTTTGATGCTTTACAACATTTCCTGAGCCCAATTACCTGATGAATCGCAGACAAGAAGTCTGCCAACTCCATTTCAGGGTTGGGGAATATTGTTCCGTTTTGGTTTACGCCGACCTTGACGACCGTGTACTGGAGGCACCATACGCGAACTTGAATTTCACGTAGCTTGTTGAGGAACGGCTGGAATGAGGGACTACTCGGCGGCACACGTGTCATACCGATGCGAATCTCGTCCTCGTGCATCGCCGATACATGAAGCATGCAGCTCAATTTGATGAGAGCAGCCGATGTTGACTTCAGATGGTCTTCGTCGACGATGTCGTAAGCTGAGCTGTCATTCAGAGCCAAAGAAAGTGCAGTGATCAGAAGATCATCTAGCGATTTGAGCATCTTCAACACTAACGGCGGTCTCGTTTCTGGGGCGTTCTTTAGATAACTGTCGCTTTCCAAGTCCGCCGTGAGCATCTCAATAGCTTTGAGCTGGCATGAGAACTGTTTTGTCGAATACTTAATACTGGCGTACGCGTCGCTAAGCCGTGTCCAGAGGAAAAGTCGCAATTCCGTGCTAGTTCCCAGCAGAAACCTCCAAAGATCCTGGAGGCTCTGACTGGCACACTCCTTGATGGGCACTTTCCTCGTCTTGGAGCGGCTAGACGACTCCTCTCCATCTTCCGCCGAATCTTCGAATGGCAGGGTAACGTAAACAGACCCCGGATTCAGAACGGGCTCGAGGTTATCAATGACAGCGACTGGATCGCTAACATTGTCCTGGAAGAGGCCGAGGAAGAAATCCATAGTGGTCAGTTTAGAAATTTCTCTATCGGCCGCCGCCTCCGAAATTTCGGGTATCACCGGATTATTCGGAAGGAACAGTTGATCGATCTCACTTTCTGCAAGGAAATCTCGCAAACTCGTCCAGCATTGCAGGATGTACTCTCTTGACGCGTTCTCCGTAAGAGTCGTCGAAAAGATGGCAGCCCAGAGAAAGCGGCCAGTCAGATTTTCGTTGCCTTCTTCTGCGGCATCCCGTAGCAAAGCTGAAGCCATGTCTAGCCACCGACCCAAGCGACCTCTGGCTTCAACGCGGATGCTGTA